ATTCCTAATTAAAGCAGATTTAATTATTAAGATGAATTAATTTAGCTGTAATTTAAGTAGCCAATTGAGTCTTTAATTGTATAATTAATCTGTTCTTTTGTGTCTTTATAGAGGGCCCACCATACAAGACATGCCCACCCTGATCATACTCGCATAGCAGCCTGCCAATTATCGTAAAAGTTCCCTTTCTTTATTGTTAATGATAAAGGGTAGGAAAATTGGGAATTGTTATAGGTTCATTAATACTACTATAATCTTCTCCAAGGGAAAAATATATTTGAAAATTCAGATTAAAGAAAGAATAATGATATTTATTTTGCATTTTTATTATAAAAGTCACGTATGATGAATTCCATTTCTTGTAAAAAAAAAAAAACAAAAAAAAAAAAAAAAAAAGAATTCTATTTAAACTTATTCATAGCAAGTATCTTAATTCACAAACACTTTGAGAGTTACAAAAAAGTTAAAGGTATCCTCACTTTTAAAGTGTTTACATTAAAGATTGAACCTCGTAATAAATTTATCCCCATAAAATTTTCAATTCGTACCAAACAAAGGACAACATCATATTTATCCTTATCCCACCTACTAATCCTCCATCCTTGTTACACACTTTTATCCTCCTTATCCGTATCCCTCGTGCCAAACGCCCCCTACAAGTACTTTTCTTGAAATGAAATTATATTTAGTAACTGAACTAAAATATTTTTGTTGACTTGAATTGTTATATTAAATTAAATAATTATTTTTTAAGAAAAATCTAAATTAAAATTAGTTTTACCAAATTTAAATTATTAATATTCAAGAAAAATTATTGAGAATAAACTTCCTCCGTTTTTATTTTATTGCACCATTAGGACTTTTTCACTATTCACTTAATCTCTTTGACCATCATTTGTGATTTATCCATTAGGAAAAATAGAGTCATGTGGGATTTAGTTAGATTCGTCTCGATATCTTCTTATCTTCTTATCAAATTTTTATATTTTTACAAAAGCATAATTGAAAATATTAATTGCAAAAGTAATGCATTGGCAAGCGTGAAATCCCTTCTGGTGCAATTAAAAAAAAAACGGAGGAAGTATGACTTTTGATTGGTAAATGACCTTCTGAGTATCCCATAATAAAATAATATAATCTTTTATGGGGCTATTAAATAAAAAACTAGTTACCCGTTTCCTTCGAAAGACAAAGGTTTTTTTCGATCTCAATCGAAAGACAAGATTTTTATAACTCATTCGAAAGATAAGGTTTTATTTGCGCTTAATAAGGTCCCTAGTTTTGTGGATTGATTATGACTCGGATTCGGGTGAAATCAGCACAAGAATTTTCAATCTCATATAATTATTGAAATGTGACGGATCCATTCAAAAAGTTGTATAAGACACGAATTGAGAATGTGCCAAAGTGTTATATCTATATATTTATATTCTTAGCCCTTCCCCGACTAAGTCTGTTCACATTTACTGAACTGAATTGAACTAATTGGAGCTAAACTTAACTAAACTAAACTAAGCTAAAATAAATATTTAATGAGAGAAGATAATTAGGAGCTAAACTGAACTGAACTGATTGGAGCTGAACTGAACTGAACTGAAGTGAAATTAAGTTAAAGCGAACATGCCTAATTTTCAAGTCAATGATTGAAAGTATTAGACGCAAATGAATTCAATCCCAAAGCCAAAATAAGCAAAACCCCCAATTCATCTCCTCCCCTAAACCCTAGAAATCAAATTGTCCCCAAACTGAATTAAAGTCATAAACCCTGAATTAAATATCTAATTTAAGTTAATTGCTACTCCCTCCGTTTTTAAATACTTGCTCCATTTCTCTTGGACACGCATGCCGATGCTAATCTTGATCACTAATATCTTTAATTATCAATAGGTATAACTTCTAACAATTGAAAATTAATAATCTATTCACTGAGATGATTCCAACAAGTACCTAAAAGACTATATTTTTTCTTATGTTAAATCACAAACATTAGTCAAAGTAGGATAAATAAATAGTGCAAAAAAATAGAAATGCAGCAAGTATTTAAAAACGGAGGGAGTATAAACTAAAATCATAAATTGAATTCAACATATCATGAACTAAATTAAAAATTAAGTTAAAACATTACTTGGATTAGTGAGTAATTGCGTTGAATTGCTTGATTTTTCTTCTATGTGATTTTTGGATGAGTTTGGGGTAAAATAAATGAGGGAGGAGAGTTGATTGGGTGAGAAAGCGAAGAAGTGGACCCCAATAATGCCAAAAATGGACGAAAAAACGTTATTGGTTAGTGCTATACAAACGTTTATCCAACATTAGCCTAATGTAGCACATATGTATGTTGTACTATATTAATTTAATGATTTATTTTTTTGATAATTGTCATGAGTCTCCAGTTGTATAGATGTTTGCATTACCCAGAATAGCAAGTGAAAACTACCTCTGTTTTATATTAAGTGAATTTTATTTATTTGGTTCTTGTATGTATGTAGATTGGACCGTTAGACATGGATGCTTGGTTGAGTCATGTTTAAACATTGCATTTATATGGATTTATGATATGTCTTGCAAGTTTGCCATAATTTGAGATTTTGTGTCAAATATTTTAGGAAATTTTGCGAACAACTACCATTTAAATGACCCCTTTTGAGAACAACTACTATTTGAAATTTTCTTTTAAAAAAAACTACCGCAAAGTCACAAAAACTTTGAGTAGCACTACCACGTTTAATTTTCCGGCAAGAATTTCCGGTTGAGATAGCTTAGTTTATAAAATTTCAATCAATTGTGGTATAGAAAACAAGAGATTTCGATAGTAGAACACAATTATAGGTCAATCATTATTAATTTTGCACTATAGTTTATTTAATTTCTCAATTAAACCTTAAAATTAGGGTTTATGGTAAAAAATTCGAATTTAGGGCTTTACTAAATTGGGGGATTTGGGGCAATATGTATAATCCAATTAAGGGTTAATGCAGTCATTTAATATGGGTTTTTTTAAGGGAAATTTTATAAAATATGCCCCCAAAACGGAGATTCTTGCTGAAAGAATAAATGTGGTAGTGCTACTCAAACGTTTTGTGTTTTTGTGGTAGTTTTTTCAAAAGAAAATTTTAAATGGTAGTTGTTCTCAAAAGTAGTCATTTAAATGGTAGTTGTTTGCAAATTTTCCAATATTTTATTATAATATAGATTTACTTTATTGTAGCAAAATTAAAATATGGTTTTTACACTATCAAGTCATATCAGTCTGTAAACTTTGTTGGTGTGTACTTATTTTTCATTTGCGTTTAATAGGATCTCTAATTGTGCAGGATTACGATTGATTATTGCTCGGAATAAAGTTATAAAATCAACATATGAATTTTCAATCTCATAAAATTAAGTAGCAGTGAGGTTTGACTTTCGTTGACTTTCTCTCTTCTCTTTCTTCTTCATGGTTCTTCATTTTTGATTGGTTTTCTTCATCAAATCTGGGTTTCAATGGCAAAGAAGAAGAAGCAAGCTATTTCTACACCTCAAGTAGTGCAACAAAAGGCTGCTCAAGAAGTTGTTGGCTCGATTTTGAAGGATTTGGGAATTTCAAGTACCCCTTTTGTTCCTAGCCCGATTCAAGAGGGGGATGAACTGCTTACTCCGGCGCCGGCGGCAGTTCAGTCAGCTTGTGGTGCTATTTCCGGTGTTCCCTTGGATGCTGAAGTTACTGCCGTTGCTAAAGTTGCTGCTAAATCGAATCAATCCAATGGAACAATACCTAGGGTTTCTGGGTTTACTGTTCCATTGGATGCTGGTGGATCTGAGCACGGTGGTGCACCAGGACACTCTGTACTTCCTTCCTCACCCTTTATGGAGCATATTGCGCACAATGTTAATGAAGATCGAGCTGCTCCTCTTTCTGCCTTGGAGTTGAGCTCGCGCGTTTCTGCTGAAAACTGTGTTGCTTCTTCCTCTGTTCTGGAGTAGAATGTGACTCGAGCTTCATCTTTTGCTGGGAAATTGGCTGCAAAAGGAGCTACGCTATCCTTTGTTGCTCCGAAAGTGCAAGATGGTAAACTAATTGCTGAGCTACAAGCAGCCGAGCTTGAGGAAGGTAATCGAAAATGGGCTAATGCTCTTGTTTTTTATGTGGTTGGCTTTTCTCCTACTATTGCTGCTGTTCTTCGTTTCTTTGCTCAACAATGGAATGATATGCAAAAACCAGATGTGTATTGGCATGATGATGGGTACTTTATTATCAATATGTGTTCTAGTGATGATAGAGATACTATACTTTGTTCTGGTCCTCACATGTTCTTTGGAAAGCCTGCAATAGTGAAGCCTTGGTGCCCCGATTTTGATTTTCATGCTGAAATTCTTAGAACTATTCCTCTTTGGGTTAAATTCCCTAATCTTCCACTTAATTGTTGGGGATCTCATACTCTTAGCCGCCTTGGTAGTTTGCTTGGAGTGCCAATTTGTGTTGATGAGTGTACTACTAGACAACTTAGAGTGTCTTTTGCTAGGGTTCTGATTGAGATTGATGTTACAAAGCCTATGCCAACCTCTGTGTGGGTTGAGAGTCCTTCGAAGGAATTATTGGAGATCAGGGTGGTGTATGAGTGGGCTCCTTCTTTTTGCTCTAAGTGTAACAAGATTGGTCATGATTGCTCTGTTAAGCCTCCTTTGCCTAAGCAGGCTTCTAAGCAACCGGCTCCTGTTCCTCCTAAGCAAAAGCAAGTTTGGGCTCCTAAGCCTACCCATGTTCCTGCTTCTACTGCTGCTGTTGATGTTGGGGTTTCTGTTCATGGCCAATCTATTATTACTCCACAGGTTCATACTTCTAAGAATTCAGATGAGGGTTGGAGAATAGTAGGGAGGAAAACAAAAAGCCAGCAAACTAGAGTTCATCAGCCTGCTTCTACCTCTAATGCCTTTGTTGCTTTGTTTGCAAATGAAATGGATGGTGCAGGTGGTTTCACTATAAATCCAAGCGGGGGTGAGGTTAATCCCCCTTTGGTGTCATGATTTACTCTGTTTGGAATGTCAGGGGCCTGAATGACCCTGGCAAAGTTGCCTCTGTAAGGAGGTTGATTCACTCTCATTCAGTTGATGTTGTTGGATTGCTTGAAACAAAAATCAAATTGAAAAATGTTCTCGCTTATCAGAAGAAGTTTGGCTCTTCTTGCCTTTGGTTGTGTAATTATGATCATTCTCCCAAAGGGAGGATTTGGCTTGGTTGGAATGTGGATAGAGTAACTGTTAATGTCTTGAAGATTCATGAACAATTCATTCATTGTACTGTTTCTTCTAAGGATCTCTCTACTCAAATTTTTCTCACTGTTGTCTATGGTCTTCACTCCATTCATGATAGACTTTCTTTGTGGGAGGGGCTCAGAAGCATCTCTATCCAGCATTCTCCTTGGCTTCGTGTTGGTGATTATAACTCTATTCTTCATGCTTCTGATAGGCTTCATGGTGCTGATGTTACTGATTATGAGACTAGAGACTTTCAGAATTTGGTTGATGATTTGGACCTCACTGAGCTCAAAAGCAAAGGGTCCTTCTACTCTTGGTCTAATAAGGCTCATACTGGCCCTAGAACGCTCTCTAGACTTGATAGAGCCTTTGGTAATCAAGCTTGGTTAGCTTCTCATGGGCATGTGGAGACTGTGTATCTCCCTCCTTCTTTATCTGATCATAGTCCAGTTTTGCTGGATATTTGCTTTGGCCCTGTTGGGAAAGGTAGACCTTTCCGGTTTCTTAATTGTGTTGCTGATCACCCTGATTTTCTTGATACTGTTTCGCAGGCTTGGGGCTCTGGTAGTTCTGTTTGGCAGAAGCTCAAATCTGTGAAGGCTAGTATCAAATCTTTTACTAGCAAGTAGTTTGGTAACATTGAGGAAAAGATTAACCAGGCTAATGTTGAGCTTTCTAGAATTCAAATCTTAATGGCTCAGAACCCTGATGATTTGGATTTATATGCTAAAGAATCTGATGCTATTAAGGTTGTCAAGCAATGGAATGATATTCAGGAAAGCATCTTCAAGCAAAAATCTAGCATTAACTGGGTTAAGCTTGGAGATGGCAATTCTCACTACTTCTTTTCTGTGATGAAGACTAGGCAAGCAAGGAGTAGAATTGACTCCATTTTTTATTCTAATCAGGTGTTGCTTAAGGATCCAGATGCCATTTCTCATGAAATTATCTCCTTCTATAAGTCTCTTTTAGGGACTCAGACTCCTTGGCTCCCTGCTGTTGACCTTGTTACTATGCGGAGGGGTAAGCAGCTTAGCTCTGCTGCTCAGAGCTACCTCATTAGGCCTATTTCTCATGCTGAAATTGATGTCGTTCTTAAGGGAATTGATAACACTAAAGCTCCTGGTATTGATGGCTTTAAATCCTTTTTCTTTAAGAGAGCTTGGCATATTGTGAAAGATGATATTTATGCTAGTGTTATTGATTTCTTTAATAATGGGATCTTGCCTAGGCAATGGAATTGCACAACTATTACTTTGGTCCCTAAAGTCCTTTATGCTTCTCATGTTAAGGATTTTAGACCTATAGCCTGTTGTACTGTGGTATATAAGCTCATTTCTAAGATCATAACTGCTAAGCTTGCTGCTGTCATTGGTAAGGTGATTGATGATGCTTAGGCAGGGTTCATTCCTGGCAAGCACATTGGTGATAATATTCTTCTTGCAACTGAATTGATCAAAGGCTATGATCACAAATTTATCTCTCCCAGGTGTATGGTTAAGGTGGATTTGAAGAAAGCTTATGATTCAGTTGAGTGGGGATTCTTGATCACTGTCATGCAGGAGCTTGGTTTCCCTCAGAAATTTGTTGATTGGATCTGGAATTGTCTTACTTCTGTCTCTTACTCTATTCTTATTAATGGTTTTCCTGCCCCCTCCTTTGAAGCTAAGATAGGGTTAAGACAAGGTGACCCTATGTCTCCCTTTCTCTTTGCTATTGGTATGGAATACCTCTCTAGATGCCTTGATGAGCTTAGGTTATCTCCTGATTTTAACTTTCACCCTAGATGTGAAAAGTTAAACTTAACTCACATGATGTTTGCTGATGACTTATTGATGTTTTCTCGAGCTGATAGTGTTTCTGTTAAGCTTCTCTTCCAAGCCTTCTCGAAATTCTCGGGTGCCTCTGGGCTTTCTGCTAATCTTGATAAAAGTGAAGTCTACTTTGGAGGAGTCTCTGTTGATGTCCAGAAAGAATTAAGGGAGCTTCTTGGTGTTTCTCAAGGCTCCATTCCTTTTAGGTATCTTGGGGTCCCTCTCTCTTCAAAGAAGCTTACTATTGCTCAATGTAGGCCCTTGGTGGAGAGAGTCAATGCTAGAATTCAAGGATGGATGGCTAAACACTTGTCATATGCTGGGAGGCTTCAAGTGGTGAAGAGTGTGTTGTTTGGTATCCAGACTTATTGGGCTCAAATTTTTATTCTTCCGAAGAAAATTCTGAAAGAGATTGAGGCTAGGTTCAGGTGCTTTCTTTGGACTGGTTCCTCTGCTCCTGCTAAGAAGTCTTTGGTTGCTTGGAATAATGTCTGTCTTCCTAAAGTTTGTGGTGGCTGGAACCTGCTTTCTCTTCCTGAGTGGAATAAAGCAGCTGTCACTAAGTTACTTTGGGATATTGCTCACAAGGCTGATAATCTCCGGGTTAAGTGGGTTCATATCTACTATTTCAAGCATAAAGATTGTTGGACCACCCCTACCCCTGTTAGATGCTCTTGGTTTTTGAAGAAGATTTTGAGTTGTAGAGATATTGTGAATGATCAAGGGGGATGGGATGGGTTTGTTCAGGGCAACAAGTTGAAAATCAAGAAGCTTTATGCTGCTATTAGGCCTCAAGTGCCTAAAGTTCCTTGGAAGAGAGTTACTTGCCATAACTTAGCAACTCCCAAAAGTGTTTTTATCTTGTGGCTTGCTTTGTGGAATAGGCTTGTCACTAAGGATAGGTTGCTTCATTGGCACATCTCTTGTGATCCAAAGTGTTTCCTTTGTCTGAATGGTAATGAAAGTGTTCAACATCTTTTCTTTGATTGTGATTTCTCTAGGAAGGTTTGGAGTAAGGTTTTGGGGATCTTACGTGTTTCCAAGCCTGTTTAGCAGTTTAGTGATGAGATTGATTGGATGAAGAAAATCTGCAGAAGTTCCAGATTGAAGAATAAAGTGATCCAGGTGGCCTTCACTGAAACGGTTTATGGTATTTGGATTCAAAGGAATGCGGTTCTCTTTACTGGTTGTTGCAAATCAGTTGATGCCCTTGTTCGGGATATTGTCTTTCACTCAGTTTGTAGAATCCCGGCGGGAAGCAAATATTTGATCGTTTAGGGCTTGTCTCGGGCTCCTTGTGCTTGTGTTCTGGTTTCCTTGTGTTGGGTTCTGATGATGGGATTCCCGTTGTTTCTTTTTGTATTAGTTTCCTTTTCTGCAGGTTGTTTCTACTGCTGGTAGCTTTGCTGGTGTTGTGTTGTTGTGCTTTGCTGTGCTACTGTGTTGCTGCTGCCTGCTGTTTGTGTTGCTGCACTGCTGCTGCCTGTTGTGCTTCTGCTGTCTGCTGCCTGTTGTGCTGTCTGCTGTCTGCTGCAGTCTGCTGTTGGTGCTGCTGATCTGCTGTTGCTGCTCTGCTGTTTTCTGCTGCTGCCTGCTGTGCTGTCCTGCTGTCTGCTGCTGGTGTTGCTGTACCTGCTGCTTGCTGTTGCTGCTGGTCTGCAGTGCTAGCTGCTGTTCTAGGCTCCTGCTGCACTGCTGTTTTGTTGTCTGTGCTGCTGGTGCTATGTGTTGTGCTTGTGCTGGTGCTGCTGTGCACTGTTGTGCTTGCTGTCTGCTGAGCTGTGCTCTTTGTGTTGCCTATTTTTTGTTTTTTTTGGTGTTTTGGCCAGTTTGCAGGCATGTCTGCTTCTGGTTGTTGTTTTGTTGGCTTTTAGGTGTGTAGTTTTGTTGTTTTCTGGTTTTCTTGTTGTCTGGTCCTGGTTTCCGGAACCCTTCCTAGAAGGTGGCCGGAAATCTGAGACCAGTTGTTCTAGGCCCTTCCTAGAACCCTTCCTAGAAGGTGGCTAGGTTTGGATCTAGAACTGGTAGTGGGGTTGGCCTGTTGTTTTCAGGTCTTTTGATGTTCTGGTGGTAGTTATAACTTAGCTTTTGTAAGTTGTAACTTTCTTTCTTTCGTAATAAAATCTTATTTTTCAAAAAAAAAAAAAAAAAGTAGCAGTGACGGATCCACTCAAAAAGTAATATAAAACAACGATTCTAAAATGTTATGAATTGTTATATCTATATATTTGGATTCTTAACCCTTCTACGATTAATTCTTATTTGATTTTGTTAAATCTGTTTACTTTATGGTTATTGAAATTTAATGTCTTGTGCGAATTCTTTTAAAAAAACAAATTATTACGTAAAGTCATTTATAAAATACTAACAAATTACATGAAACCATTTCATAAAAAAATTATGAAATTTAATGTTTTGGATAAGGACGTTTTTTTAGTCAATAGGATGTTAATATTTTGGATTAAGACGTTTTTTTTTTAGCTAAATGTTGGTGAGCAAATCAAAATTCTTCATAGGAAGTAACTACCACATTCTCCGCCTCATTTTAACCACCAACGAATAAATATAACCTCTCGTTCCACATCCTTATCTTCATCAAGAATGTCACCTTCATAGGTATTATATAATAAAGCAGATCAGAAATACGTACAACATGGTATGATACTCATTTTTCCGAAAATATTTCGAAAGAGGAATTCAAACTTTCTGTCATTGATTATGATTATAGCATTTTCTACTATGAGAAAGATGTAATAGCTCATGTGATGTTTCAGACACTTTTTTGTGTAATGTTGGAGTATAGAACATGGTATGATGAGAGGAATTGAAGCATTTTTTCTGGTAAACAAAGTTTAGTTGATAGTTTTAGCACCAAGTAGGGAAACAAACTAAACCCAAATTCAAATTCATTTTCTTTTTGTGCTTATCTAATTCCTTCTTGCCCTCCATCAGTACATATTTTGTATCAAATTTGTGGGAACCTATTTTTTCTTTAGCTTACCTTTTACTCTGTGTAGACTACAATATGCATCTTACCCAATGGATTACTTATAGGTCTGTTGCAAGACTTGCAACTTAGTAGTGTGGATCTGGAGATGGTCTTATTGGACTCTAATAGTCTGTGAGAGGGAGGTATCACAATCTAAGCTTCATTTGTTACTTTTTTTTCCCTGTTTTGTTAATTTAAGCTTATTCTAAGCTGGATTATCGGCTAATTAATGAAGATTTGACTTTTTAAACTTATATTACTTAGGGGAATTTTAGGATTTCGGGAGATACCTCGTGTTGTTTTTTTTTTGCTTATTTGTATTTTCTGTATCTATTTTTGTGAGCTTTGAATTACTTGTCCTGAACTTTATTTTTGCACAGATGGGAAGCTTAAAGTGGCACTGGTTGTACACATTGTCCCTGTAGTAATCCCTTTTTTGGGTTTCGAAAGTATGTTATATGTTGATGATTCTTGTAACTTCTGCTTGTATTTTGTATGATGTTTACTGTAGTACCGTTAGAGATGTCAGTCTTTTAATCTTAATCATTTTCCAGAAACGATTAAGAAATCAGTCTCTTAGAGTCATTTGCTGTAGAGTAGTGGGTTTCTTTGTTATTGAAAGTGCTTTTGATCAACGGCATGCTCCGCCATAATTTTTACAGTGTCCTGAAATTAATTCACTAGAAGAAAAATTGAAAAAGGCACCGTTCAATGGCCACCGATTTTTGGAAACCGGTGGCTTAAAAAATGGACGGGATTAGGTAAATGTATATTACCACCGGTTCAAACCGAACCGGTGGAATAAATGATAAAGGCCACCGGTTTTGAACCGGTGGCAATAATCAAATAATAAAAAAAAAGCCCACCATTCTCTTTCCCCTTCCTTTATATACCCTAACTCTAATCTTCTCTCTCCTCTATCGCCTCTCCTCCTGCTCTCCTCCTTCTCTCTATCTCCTTCTCTCCTTCGTTCTTACTCCCCCTATCTCTCCTTCTCTCCCTCTCTGTTCTCTCTCTCTCTCTATCCTGCTCCCCCTCTCTGAATCTCTCTCGTCGCCCTCCCTCTCTGAATCGCTCTTGTCGACCTCCCTTTCTGAATCTCCCTCTCTAAATCTCTCGTCGCTCACCCTCTCTAAATCTCCCTCAAAGGCCACTACCACCACCGCCACTGACCACCGCAACCACCAAGACCGACATCAACAACAAGTTTTAAACGGTTTTCAGTTTCCCACACCGTCGCCACTGACCACCGCAGCCACCAACATGCATCGTCGCACTTTCTCTCTCCTCGTGATGAAACCATAGGTTTTCAGGTCAAATTCGACCATTAAAACTCTAGATCTAGAGTTTTATGGTGGAATTTGGCCTCGTAAACCTAATTCAAAGTATGGAGAGTCGTCGAATGAAGATTTGGGTGTTTTGTTCAATTTTTTTTTTCATTTTTTCTGTTTTTGGGTGTTGGGTGATTGGTCGATTTTTTTTCTGTTTTTGTTAATTTTGGGTTGTTATTTGCGAAGGCGGTGGTTTTAGGTGGGTGGTGTGGTGGTTTTAGGTGGGTGGTGGGGTGGGTCGTGGGTGGTGGGTCGTTGAATCTGGGTGGTGGGTCGAGGGTTCTGGGTGGTGGGTCGTTGAATCTTGGTGGTGGGTCGTTGGTTCTGGGTGGTGGGTCGTGGGTTGTTGGGTGGTGGGTCGTTGGTTGTGGGTCGTGGGTCGTGGGTGGATTGTGGGTTTTGGTGGTTTTTTTTTTAAATTTTTTTTTTTTTTTCATATCTAAAGTTTTTGTTTATCATTTCTGATTTTTAATTTTTTTGCAGATTTTTTTATTTTATTTTGATTTTTAATTGTGTTTTAATTTTGTGTTTTTTTGCAGATCTATTGCAGATTCAAAGTTAATTCAAAGAGCTATTTTTTTAAAAAATTGTAAATTAACTATTTATTCATTGATGAATATACAATACATGTAATTTATGTATATCACTACTACAAAAAGTGGAAAAAGGAACGCATAACATACAACTGTCAAGTTAGATAGGCGTTCTATAGAATTATATAGAACGCCCATGTTGGATGAACGTTTTGTATGTTGAATCATATAGAACGCCTGTCCCACATAACAGTTTTATTTGATTTTTTTTTTTTTATTTTGTTACTAAAAAATTCATTCCCAATATAGAATGCTCTTCTCACTTAACTCTTCTATTCTATTTTAATATTATTTAAAAAAAAAAAAAAAACAAAGAAACCCTAACAAGTAACAACTCCCCTCTTTCTTCTTATTTCTCAACTCACCCGCCGCTCAAGTTTTACTCTCTCATCTCCTTCCTCATCAGATTAAATTTACTCCAATCAACACTCCTTCATTATACTCCCTTCGATTATGTTACAAATTCGTCGAGAAAATTATCAAATATAGTATTTTCTCATACGATAATCTACAACAATGAGCAAACCATGGGGTTTGTATTTTCCCAACAAGAGCATATTAGGAGTGTTTTCCACTTTTCACATTTTGGAATCGACAACTTGATCAGATTCTCATGATGTCATGAGTGGTTTATTTTCACTCAAAATAAATTTTTCGCCTTTCTTCTCTAATAGGCTCGTTAACAAGTAATTTCAGGTTTGTTCATCATAATTTATTTAGAGTTGAATTTGGGTTGTTTGTGATGATTTTCGAAACAAATGCAAAGTAAAAATTGCATTTTTCAGTAGTTTGTATGCTTTATTTCTTTGCAATCTATTTAAAATGTCAATTTTTTAATATAGCAGAGGAGTTAAGGGTGGTGAGGAAATTGAAATTTTTGTATAATTAATGTTTATTAGTTATTTAATTTTGATTACAACTTATAGTAATTTGTGTGTTTGTAGTGCATTTTTTGTTGATGAATTAGAATCCGATTACCAATTGGATTGTTGGTAACCATCTGCTCTGTTGCTTAGTGGGGCAATTGGTGTTGAGAAATCAATTTTTTCAGAAATTTATTTTTGATTGATTTTTTTTTTCTTCATATATAAAATATTATTTAATCTGTTTGTATAGTTGAATTTATAAATCTAATTACTCTATTATTGGTGTAGGGAATGTATAAGGTTGTGAAGTTGAAGAAGCTCTTCAATACGAGGAGACAACTACCAAGTATAATTGAATCAAAATTGGCATTTCAGATCAAGTTCCAAACAAAAGCTATGGAGAATGGACTAATGGAGCTAGTGGAATTGAATATATCTCTAAATTTAGACTATACTTGAATTATTTTGTATATCGATTTTTCATTTTGTGTAAAGAATAGAGAACGGTCATATGACATCACAGTTCTCTTTAGTGAAGAAATAGAACGGTCAAGTCGCGTGACAGTTCTTTTTTCCTTCATTATTTTCTAAGAAGGGAAAAGAGAACGGTTGTGACTAACAACCGTTCTCTATATATCAGTATATAGAACGCCTACTTGAACCGTTCTATAAACTTTACACATCGCTTAGCAGAAGAACGGTCCTAAGGCGTTCTATAAAACTTGTTTTAACCGTTCTATAATCCCTTTTTTGTAGTAGTGTATTATGATTATTTCTCAATTTCAAGGGGGAAAAAAATGTATATTATGATTATATGTAAGTGTCTCTTGATTTTTAAGTGAAATTTTTTTTTTTTTTTTTGGGCATTATTGCCACCGGTTCCACCGAAAAACCGGTGGCAATACTTACTAATACCAGAAAAAAAAAAATGCGGGAAGTGTTATTGTCACCGGTTAACCGGTGGCCTTGCTTCGGTTTATTGCCACCCCCCAAATGACCACCGGTTCAAAACCGGTGGCCTTGGGGGGTTTTGAACCGGTGGCCAATTCATATTTTCGCCTAGTGATTGATTCACTGATGGCATTGTAAACAGTATTCTTTTTATTACAGCAAGGTGATGAAATCTCTTAACACATTCCAAAAGGAGTATGTATGTAGTGTTCTTTTCAGAATATTAATCACAGACAGGTATGATTGATATCTGATATTTTTTTTTCTTCCAAGTTCCAACATATGTGATCATCTATTAGCTTTTTCTCTTTTTGTAGACAAATTTACAGATTTTGTAGACAAATTTACAACACTAACCCAACTTATTAATTGAAAATGTCGAATTTGCGCCTTTGAGAAATATGAGAAACTTGTATTTTCTCACATATATAATTATAATTTATTTATTTATTTTTAAGCCACATATATAATTATCTTAAATATTGATGTTTGATTTTTTTTTTTGTCTTTAAAAATATTATAAATAGGACTTGTATTTCATATAGAAAATAAATAAATAAAATTGAACACTTGTATTTCATATAGAAAATGAGTTTTTAATTTATTTTTATTGCCTAATTAAGTTAAAAACCTTTTTTTATTTTTAAAACAAACACAATATGCTGTGTTGCCTGTGTATTTGTTAATTTCAAGTATATCTTTTGTAAATGTGGATTTATTGATTTTAGGGTTATCTATACCGTAAGGCCGTAACCCCCTTAATTTCACTTTTCTATGTTGTGTCCCTCCATATAGCACTTTTTACATTGTAACCCGCAAATACATTTAGCTTCCATATGGTAACCTTGCGGTTATTTCGCCGTTAAATAATTTCATTAGTGGGGCCCACTTTTTATTTGGTTAATATTTTTTATTGATTTGCTTGTTGAAAAATATTCCATGAAAGGTTACGGGGGATATTTTGGCATTTAAAAATCCAAATTGAGCTCAGATTTAGCAAAAGAAATATATAAATGTCTCGTTTTGCGTATTAAAAAGGTAAACATGTAAATCGAAATATTTTTTAATAAGCAAAATAGCCCCTAAAACCTTAAACCGAACTTTTTATTTGTAATAAACTATTAACCCCTCTATCTTTCTTTTATAATTTTATAATATTTCAATTATCCCACTTACCTCTTATTTTATTTAAATCAAATAAACTGCCTAAACCTATGTACCGGTTAAAAAGTAACACTTTCAAAACATGAAGGGAGTATAATAATCTATTACAATACTTTGTTAAAATATGTGAATTTAAAAGTAACGTATTTAAAAAAGGAAAGAAATATTTCATTCGTATAAAACCTAATGTTAATGGATGAGACAAGTAAATTGGAACAATTGGAATAATGATAATCTTTAAATATGATCACAGATCAAATAACAAATATGATATTGAGTGATATTAGATTAATATCATCAGAAAATCAGCAGGGGAAGAATGTAAAGGAGGGGGTAGGAGCGCCGCTCCTATGGAAGTGCATGCTTGCTCCTTGGTTTGCTGGGCGTTACTTTGAGATGTTCTTTTGTCTTGGTAAATCCTCAATTCATCTCTTGCACCTACAAATACGAACACACACACAAAAGAGACGAAAACAACAAATAGACTACAAAAGTCACAAAAATGGGTTAGAGAGGGATAAAAATAGAAGAGGAGAATATGAAAGGGTGAAAAACACTACATAAAGTAGATTAAAAAAAATAATAATAAAAAAAAAAAATCGACATGTGTTCACACTTAATTTCAAAGCTCACAATTAGGGAGGGGTGTCCACTCGGTTTGGATTTAGGCTTCCAATCCCACCCGAGACAAAATTTGATTTTTGATTTTCAAATCCAATTCAACCCAAATTTCTCATCAAATCTAATCCGTTTCAATCCATATTAAATATGTTACAAATTTAGCCTAATGCGATTATAAAAATAAAAATACAATTATAAAAATTCAAGTCTTGAAATCATAAACTACATAGTTGTACATGATTAATACAAGTATTAAAAACATAATTTTACATGATTGATATTAAGGTAATTAAAAACATGGTTTCATATTTCGATTAATTTAATTTTTAAGATCCAAACAACATCAATCCGATCCGTACAAAAATATACGGATTGAATTGATTTTCGGTCTTAATCCAAAAACTGAACACCGCTATTCACATTATTTATCAAATGTAGAAGACGAAAAAAAGTTATATAGTCAAAGACTTTTAACTTTTAGATGATGATGGAATATTTTATCTTACTATTTAAATCAAAGAGTTTTGATAATTTAAGACATTTGGGAATGATCTATTGGTATGTTAGTATGTAGCTAGCGTCCCTAAAAAAAAAAAAAAAAACTGTAGCTACCGTATGAAATGTCAAACAACAGGCCCTACGCGCCATGGACGAAGCATAGAGGTTCCCTTTTAAAATTTTGATGCACTAATTTTTGTATTGAAGGAAGAAAATAAAATTATAACACCACTAAGGGTATGTTCTCTTCCGTTGAAATTCAGTTCAATTTAGTTCAGCTCTGCTCTTATTACAACAACGACGACGACAACAACAACAACAATAATAATAATAATAATAAATAAGTAATAAACAATAATAATAATAATAATAATAATAATAATAATAATAATCAATAAATAATAAAAATAATAACAATAATAATTGAAATAATAATACTAATAATAATAATCAATAAATAATAATAATAATAATCATCAATAAATAATAATAATAATAATAACAATAATAATCAATAAAAAAAATAATCATAATAATCAATAAATAATAATAATAATAATTAATATCAATAATTAATAATAATAATAATAATAATCCGTAGTTAAAAATCATTAAATAATAAGTTCAGTTCAGCTCAGTTCAGCTGAGTTCAGTCAATCGGAACAGACCTTAAATAATTCATCCTGAGAGTGAAGTACTTCCTCCGTTTTTTAATAGTTGCAACACACACTTTTTTATGATATTAAAGAAAGGTGGGGATTACATGATATAATACACTTTAAAAGGGATTAGTGGTTGTTAGGAGTATAATTTTTCCCTATAATAACTTAGGGAAGTGTTGTAAGTATTAAAAAACGGAGGAAGTATAACTCAAGTGGTTAAAACTTCCCTCTCGATTTCAAGAGATCTTAGAATCCATTCTTATCATCCGTCGTTGTAGCTCTCTAAACACCACAAAATAAAAAATAAAAAATAAAAAATAAAAACTAAATAATTAATATTATGGTTGAGCAAAGAGACCTATTTCTAGGCAGTTGTGTATCTGAACGTGACATCTTGAGGTAGTGTCCTTCCAAGCTCCTCAGCACATTCTTTAGCATGTTTTTCATCAAACTGCATCCAAGTTTTCCTTAAATTACACTCTGACGGGATATCCAATATCACCTTTTGAGCATGACGGAATTTTCAACCACATGGGTGGCAAACTCAATGTCAATTGGTTGCCCCTGAAAACCACCAATCTGTAGTGTCTTAAGGCTCATGAGGGGGCGCCCTCTATGCTTGACTATACTCCTTTGAGATGTATAATAAAACCCAAGACACTTACAAAACTGCAAAATATCAAAAAACCTCAATTGTAATGAGGTATCAACCCCCACACATGGTAGGCTATATTCTCCTCAAAAACACAATAGGACATCAAAATGAGCAGCGATACCATCTGTAACATCCAAGTCAACATGAGTCCACTAGTAGATATTGTCCTCGTACGAATTTGCTTTGCTATAGTGCGAGTTGTCCAAATGGGACAATATTTACTAGTAGGCTCATGTTGACCTAGGGTGTTACATCAGTAATCATTCTTTACTAAAAACTTGTTATTAAGCAATATATACTTATTTGTAACCAACAATTCATTTCATATAGATAAGCTATACCTTGACATGTAATTTCTGTAAGAGTGGAGATGCTTCGATCAAGTGAGCCCATCCAAGGAGACTTTCATCATGATTTGATTTAACAGAGATTCGAAGATGCGTAAGGTTTTTCATGCTTCTCGGATTATCGATCCCCAAGTTAAACTACACAAGATAAGATAAAATAAACATCAATGACAGCATGTAATGCATATATCCATAGAGCAAATCATCAATTACATGGAATGAAATCAATGAATACCTTAGATACTGTATAACTCTGGTTTACAATCAAGCTCCAACTTAGATACTTCAATTGTGAGAAGTATTTAGAAAAAGAGTCACAAGCAGGGGCTACAACCTCTCCAATATATAATCCATTACCAATTGTTAGCTCGGAAAGGAAGGAGGCATCTCTAATATTCAGCTCTCCTACGGGATCCCCATGATGAATAAATGACACAAGTTTTGGGGCTAAAATGTCGATGCATAACAAATGAGGACAACGCGATACCTCTAAATGTTTCAATTCAAGAGGTGAATGAGGAAGCTTTATATGTGTTAAATGGTAGCCACCAACAATGCACAAATTCTCAAGAACTGAGCAAGAAAGCAGAATGCGCTCAATGTCCATCACAGTCACATTCACATATTTAAGACACAAGGAACCCAATTTACTAGGCACAACAAGAGATGACATACGACATTCAAGAGGCCAAGAGTAGAAATCAATCAACGGTATCAATATCCTACTCTTTTTAAAAAACGGTGTCAAGTTCAATTCAAGCCTTTTAACTTGTTTTGTTAGTGCAAAAACTAACCACTTATCGATATCAGATTCATTGTTGCGAACTTGCGATCCAAGTCAAAAACCACCCTCAGTTCATCTATTGTCGGAGCAAGATGAGCTTCCAGTGCATAGTTCACCCACCTCGTAAAACCTGATAAGCAATTATTAGGTGAGACCACCTACTATAAGTAATAATAAAGAAATTTTGTCAAGAACTACCCATTAAAGCACGTGTTTTGAAAACAACTATCTATTAATTTTTTTTTTAAAGAACTACACAAAGTTGTAAAAAGTTTAAGTAGCACTACCACTCTAATAATTTCAACTAGAATATTCGCACTGTAAGTTCCACTTTTTACCTTTACCTCATAAAATCACCATCTAAATGGACTAAATTACCCTTCAAAAGATAAAAAGTGAGATCCAAATACCAAAAATTCTAACCAAAATGATTAGAGTGGTAGTGCTACGTAAACTTTTTACAACTTTATGGTAGTTATTTAAAAAAAATTAATATATAGTTGTTTTCAAAACACGTGCTTTAATAGGTAGCTGTTGACAAAATTTCCTAATAATAATATACGAATTGAAGTACAAAAAAAAAATCACTATTATACAGTTTTTGTTTTCCAAACCTGGTCTATGACGCAGAATGAACCACTCATGATCCTTTAAATTCATATTATAAGTACTTTTAAGCTTACACTCTCCCATAACCCATTTCAATATCGGTGAATGAGCTTCAAAAAGCAATACAGGTAAAAATCGGCACAAATTTTTCCAACGGTGTGAAAGAGCACTAGTTTTAGTGACTTCCTTCATTGTTAAAGAGGACATGATCAACATCAGAAGATCATCGGACAGCTGACTTAGTCGATCCCTCACAACACTGTCATTTGCTTCATCATAACACTGAGTATCACACACAAAATATTCAAACTGAATGTAAATCATCATAACAAATTTCAGTAAACTACTCCATATGTACTAGTGGATGACAAACAGAGGGGGACCTTCCACCGGGGCCATTTAGCCCCCGTAAATTATTATAATTTATTAGTTAATGAACTTAAATAGCCTATATTTACTTATAAAATATTGTAGTATAGCGATCAGTTTTGAACAAGAAGTAAAATATTAGAGTATAGTGATCAGTATTGAACAAGAAGTAAAATATTTAAATCCTGACCCTTATATTATTTTCGGCCAAGATCCGCCACTGATGACAAAGAAACGAAACCATACCCGGCGCTTGCAAGATTGAAGAGCAGGCCATGTCTTTTCTGACATTATGATTAATGCTTACAGCAGCAAACAATACTAACAAAGCTTCACAGCAAACTCTGCAAATTTCCAGTAATTCAGATGCGAATTGATCAAATAATAAATACAAAACGTAGACAATGGCAGATATAGGCTAACAATTACAACCCTAAGAAGATCAAAGTGCAACACAATCTTAGACGCAATCAACTACAATATCTAATTTCTTAATTCAATCCTAAATATTATAGGTTTCTGCAATACAGTAGCCACCAAATTTAATTGAAATATCAAATAAAGCTAAACAAATCACATAATTTTAATTTTAGGTATATTTGATTCAAGTATTATATTAGGCTCATAATTTTCTTTTCTAGCAAAATAATCGAATCGCTGGTTAGTAATTAGAATCAATAGTTCAGAATTTCAACCCCTAAATTAACTGCACTTAAATAACATAAAACTAAATTTAAATTAGATAAAAATAAACCCTGGATTGTGAAGTTGAAATTGATATGATGATTACATACCTCGGAAGCTGCTTCAATGGGGGATCACGAGTATTTGAAGGTCTGAGAGAGAATTTATTTAAAACTATCAATATAATAAAAAAAAATAAAAAATAATATAAAATAAAATAAAAACTAGCTACCTACTGTTCTAAGTCTTCTAACTTAAATAGGAAGTTGGGAAGGTTTAGTACAATTTTGCTCATGTTTTTGAAACCTGCCTTAGGTAGTTATTTTGCTCACAAACTGAAGCTAATGGTTGTAAATTGTAATTTTAGTATATTGAAATAAATATCTAAGAGACCTGACAAACCGATCGTTTTAATCGAAAAAAATTATCTAGTATGAAAAAATTTAGCATTATGAGTACCTTAATGGTAAACTCAGTACTCCGTAATATGAGGTACGGAGTACTATTTACCTATTAAATGGTACTTTATACCCTCACTACAACTTCAACTTTATTATTAAATTATCATCCTATATGCAAACATTGCATATAGGAGCTATGCGCTAGAACTTAACCCCATAATATACATTTAGGGGTCGTTTGGTTCGTATGAGGTAATCGGAATGGAATGAATAAAGGGAAAGGAGAAGAATGGAATGAAAATACCTAAAATTTGTCATGTTGTTTGTTTTAAAACAAAGGGCAACGATCCCACTAGTCCCACCACCACACAACCACCTACGTCATTAGCTTCCCACCTTTTTCAGCCATCAAACCACTCACCGCACCTCCCCCACCTTCGCCGCCCTTTTCCAGCCTTCCCCTATCCCTCGTCGACCCAGCGGTGGTCATCCCTCCTCGAAAACCTCCTTAGCCCAGAAAAAACCTAGTGCCGCTGAAACCCGCTGAAAAACCTTTTAATTCCCCGTGAAACCCGTCGCCCGGCCCTCCCCACCCTCGAAACCCTAGCGCTAGGGTTTCGATGGTGGTGGGGGGGGGGTCGTTCGACCGTTTAACAGTGAAGAGGATGGTTTATTTTTAGGTTTTTCGATGGTCGTGGAGGCTCGGGGAAGGGACGGCGAACGTCGGTGGAGCCGTGGAGGTGAGACTGGGTGGTGGAGGTAAGGTAAAAGGGTGGTGGCTAGGTGTGGGTGTGGTGGTGGAGGGTGGATAAGGAAAGGGAATGGAAAAGTCTAGGGGGTGGGGAATGAAGTTGGAAGAATTTGAGGTAACGGAAAAAATAAAAGGGAATGAAAAAAGTACTTGACAAACAACAAAGGAAATCGGGATAGTTGATTCTCATTTCCTTTGTTAAATACCCCTAACCAAACGGCACCCTTAAGAGTATTATTGCCTCTATAGGCCTAGGCCCACTATAGCTAATTGAAATTATTTTAGATAAAGAAAATCAAAGTCGGTTAAGATAAATAAAAAGAGAAATCCGCCGCGTCATTGATCGGAAACCATAACCACAACCGTAACCTCAACCTCAACCTCGCTTTCTCTCTCCTCAATCCTCTATTTTCGCCGGAAAATTTAACGATTCATTGTTTCATCTAATTAGGCAACAATGGCGACTGCTTCAGGTATGATTTCGACTAAATTTTCGAATTTAATATTATTCTAGGGTTTGATTTCTCATGCTTTAGTTTAGATTCGATGAATTAATTGTTTTTTTTCTAATTAAATTTATTTTTTAATTAATGATTGTTCAGGTTATATGATTTGTTAATTTTGATTTATTGAAGATATTATGAAGTTGACTGATTGTTTGAATTAATTGATTAAACTCGAGTTGTTTGTGAATTGAATTTGGGGAAAATTTTAATTGATTGAACTGGAGTTTTTGTGAATTGAATTTGGGGAAATTTTTGCAGTGGCGTTTAAGTCTAGGGAAGATCATAGGAAGCAGCTAGAATTAGAGGAAGCTCGTAAAGCTGGGCTTGCACCAGCAGAGGTAGATGAAGATGGAAAAGAAATTAATCCTCATATTCCGCAGTATATGTCTTCTGCTCCTTGGTATCTTAATTCGAATAAGCCGGTATGTTTCGATACTTTTTTTGATTAGGGTTTCTTTTTGTTGATTGCATTTGGACGTGTTGTGTATTAGATTCAGGGACTAACATTTTATAATTTGGGTGGGTTTTCAGAGTTTGAAGCATCAAAGGAAGTGGAAATCGGATCCGAATTACACGAAATCGTGGTATAACAGAGGTGAAAAGGGCTTCCAGGCTAGTAAGTTCCGGAAGGGTTCTTGTGCGAAGTAAGTTGAGCCTGTGAATACTTAATTTTTCAAATGTATGTGTGTGTGCACGTTTGCTTATCTGGTTTATTGTTTTAGCTAATCATATGTATTTGAACCTGAGGATTTCTACTATTCTAGTGTGTTTTTGAAAGTTGAGACTTGTTATTGATGACAAATTAAGTGAAAGTTATAAATCAGAAGTTAGTTTGGAACTTGGAATTAATGAGCGCAATTAAGTGGAAGTGTGGAATTGAATGGATTTTTCAATGTTCTGTACAATCTTAATTTTTGGAAACTATCTCAAATAATCCAGAGTCGGCAGAGTGTTTGTTAGAATTTCTAGAGGAAAGTATGCACATTCTATGCGGAATTTCTTTATTTCTAACTCATCTAGAGCTCTATCCAACATGCTTTCCAAAACCTGGGATTAGTTCATATTATGCTGAGGACTTTTCTGTGTAAGTTCCTTTTATGCTGAGTATTTAGTATCTATTGTATTTCTTATAAGAGTTTTTCCTTGGTGTAACTACCTCTATTGTTGTCTTAATCGTTGAAAAAATATTAATCTTTTTCCATGTGATTAAAGTTTACCGTGTTCTCTGCAGTTGTGGTGCCATGACCCATGATGCAAAGTCTTGCATGGACAGACCTCGAAGAGTTGGTGCAAAGTGGACAGGGAAACACATTGCACCTGATGAAATAATAGAGGAGTTTGAGCTGGATTTCGATGGGAAACGTGACAGATGGAATGGTTTTGATCCTGCAAGTTATGCCTATGTTGTTCATAGATATGAGGCAAAGGAAGAAGCAAGAAAAAAATACCTGAAGGAACAACAATTGAAAAAGCTCGAGGAGAAAAATAAAACTGGTGAAGAGGGTGAGGCTGATGAAGATGAAGATGAAGATGATGAAGATGATGAAGATGCTTTGAAGGTTGATGAGGCCAAGGTTGATGAGAGTAAACAAATGGATTTTGCAAAGGTTGAAAAACGTGTACGTACCACTGGTGGAGGAAGTACTGGAACTGTAAGGTAAGATTTGTGATCACCTTATTCAGTTGAAGAGTACATTAACCCTGATTAAGTTATATTGGATAGATATTGATGTAACTTTTCCCAAACTTGTCAAAATTGGATATGTAGCTAATATTCCCAGAGTAATAAAAATGGCAATCATATGAAATTGACTAATTAAATGTTCAAGCTTATAAATTTTAAGACATGTAAGTGCGTAGTACCTGCTTGCCATTTAGCCCTTGACATGTGCTCATATAGCTCTGTTAAGGGCTTCTCCACTGTTCAAAATTAGGTGGTCTCACTTATAATCATCCACTAGCATGAAATCTTGCTAGTCTGCAATCTGCATAGCCACCGGCCTGAAGATAAATCAGAAGCCCTATCTCTGTAGTCTGTAATTACTTTTGCTTTCTGCGTCATTGCTTAGAACTTGTTGCTAACGGGATGTTTTTTCTATTATTTAGAAACTTGCGTATCCGAGAAGATACAGCCAAATATTTGTTGAATCTTGATGTCGATTCGGCCTACTATGATCCTAAAACCCGGTCCATGCGTGAGGATCCTCTTCCTGATGCTGATCCAAATGAGAAGTTTTATGCTGTGAGTGCTTTGAAGAATTTTGTTTAAACTTGTCAAATCCTCTCATGTTTAGCCGTGTCTATTGTCTAATCATATCTTTTGCACTGGTTTAATTTTATTATTGTAATCTTTGTGTAGGGTGATAATCAAAATCGCCTCAGTGGTCAAGCTTTGGAGTTCAAGCAGCTCAATTTACATGCTTTTGAGGCATTTGACAAGGGACAGGATGTGCATATGCAAGCAGCTCCTTCCCAAGCTGAGTTACTTTACAAGAACTTTAAGGTTAATAAAGAGAAGTTGAAAACCCAGGTGAAGGATACCATAATGGAGAAGTATGGCAATGCTGCAACAGAAGAGGAGATTCCACGGGAACTTCTACTTGGTCAAAGTGATAGACAAGTTGAATACGATCGTGCTGGTCGGATAATCAAGGGGCAGGTATTATATTCTACATTGCTGATGGGTGAAGCTAATTATAATCGTACTTGGTTTGTTGTCTGTTAGCTTATTACATGTCTTATCGTTGCTGTGCCATTGATAGGAGATGGCAGTTCCCAAGAGTAAATATGAAGAAGACGTGTACGCTAATAATCACACAACTGTTTGGGGGTCATGGTGGAGTGATTTCCAATGGGGCTACAAATGCTGCAAGCAGACAATTCGAAACAGCTATTGTACAGGTGCTGCAGGGATTGAGGCTGCAGAAGCATCAGGAGAGCTGATGAAAGCTAACATAGCCCGCAAAGAAACTTCTGAAGGTTTGCTATATGTGGCCATCTTTCATCTTCTTTAATCTTTCGTCAGGAAGTGTCTAGGACTCTGGATCTCCCCTTTCCCTCTTATCTGTTTGCTAATTTGTTCCTTGTAAAGTATCTGGTCATGACAATAGTAATGTCTTTTCACATAAAGATCGATGATACAATATTGTTGCACTATTTGACTTATCCTTCTCTATTATATGCTGATTTGTGTATTTGGCAATGAAAACAGAAAAACCGGAGTCTACTGAAGAGAAAAGGCTGGCTACTTGGGGTACAGAGGTGCCTGAAGATTTGGTTCTGGATGAGAAGAAACTTGCTGAAGCTATTAAAAAGGTACTTTTTTCATAATTTCTGAAATTTTATGATTTTTTCAAATGGATTTGGGAATGATAGAGAATTACACTTAAATCACATGCAGCTGTGTCTTGGCAGAACTTTTGTGCCTTTTGATCACATTGGTTTTATGAGTCCTGTCTCAACCTCTGATCTACCCAACATGCTTTGGTTTTTCTTTTTGAAAAAGACCTAAATCGGCTTACATATACAGGGAGTGAACTGAAAATCCACTCCCATAGTTGGGGAGGGATTCAAAAGCAATAAGTGTTCCTGTCTAATAGGGCAATAATGAATTCATGTTGGTTCTTTTAAATCTCATGTTGGTACAATTTTTTTCAAACAGGAAGTTTATAAGGTACCAAACAAGGATTTGTTATAGTCGTATAAGATAAGAACAGTTGACTGGCAAAGACTTTCCCAGTCTTGCTTAACACTATCAAAAGTCTAGATTTTGTGATGTAATGTGTATATGTTTTCACTTGTCCTTTAATGTCTTGCGCAGGAAAATGCTAAGAAGAAAGAAGAGAAAGATGAGCGGAAACGAAAGTACAACATTAAATATGACAATGATGTGACGCCAGAAGAGATGGAAGCTTTTAGAATGAAGAGGATCCACCACGATGATCCTATGAAGGATTTCCTTTGAGGCTGTGCTCTGTAGTCCTATAGAATATAGATGACATTTGTATCAGTAGAATTAAGAGCTTCCTTTCTAGTACTCACACTGTTTGTATATACTAAACAAAGTATTTGACGTTGCTTGTCAATGTCATTTGGGAGGTTTTTTGTTGTTGCAATAAAATTTGCAAAATTATGTGTATTGTTGTTCCCTCTGTTGTTTGTACACTATCTCATGGCATCATGCAGTATGATTTATATTATCTGACCTACAAATTTCGCTATGTTTAGCTTTCATCTTCTCTAATTAAAAAAAAAAAAATACTTAACAAACTATTATTGCTCTCGTTGAGTATCGAACTCAAGATCCCCCGCTTACTAAACGGGTACTCTAACCAACTGAGCTACGAGAGCTTGTTGAGATTTACTTGGGACATTTAATTATAGTTATCATAATAAATAATAATCTACTTTAATTAGAAGTAGTACTAATTGAATGACTTGCACCACCATGAAGCTAAGTTACATGTTCCTAAAACTCTTATTTAACTCAGCTCGAAAACTGGCAATGAATTCTTCAGCTCTCGCATCGATCCCCAGCACTGATGTCGTCGATCCAAGAGATGTAGCACCAACATGACTGTTCTCATGAACGTTGTCAATCTTGTCACGAACTTGCATGGTTAATTTCGATGATGAAGAGGAAGGATAAGAAGTTTTGAAGAGATTATCTATGTATAGGAGACTCTACAGGAGGAAACTTGTATTCTTTATACAACTTCCTTCTTTTGAGGGCGGAACGCCTAGGAGATAAATATAGAGGACTTTTGATATTAGTCTTCCTAGGCTTATTTATCACAATAAGCTTCTTTGATCCATTAGTGATTAACTTGTGCAATAGTTTGGTGCTCTTTGTAAGCTTTTTACACACCACCTTGCTCATTGCTTGGAGTTGAATCCGCCCTCTTTTTAGTTTTGAACAAGACATGATGTAGATCGAGAGCAAGAAGATCAAATATGTAACAACGACAATTTAGTATGGAATGTACTCTGTAATATTTAAGGTCGAGATTTGAAAAGGTTCAGATATATGTAATCTCGCTCATGAAAAGGAGAGGTATAGATCTTAGATTAAGTTTATGTGCTTGGGGTTTGGCTAATTTGTAGATATAGATATAGAGAGTGAGACATTCCTAGGAGTATAAATGGATAAGTAAGTAGGCTAATGCGGGAGACTATTGCCTAATTCTAACGCTAAATGTGAGGTTGATTGATGTCTACGTAACTAGGAATATATTTTTCAAAAGGGAGTTTTTTTTTTTAATAGTTATATATTACTAGAATGTTCCAAGTGGACACAAATTGTGTATCAAAATGTTCTTCAATAGCTTGAAAATGAGGCAGCAAGTTGCATAAGATCACTTACCAATTTCATCATATTTTTTATGGTTGAAAAAACAATGTGAGACTCAAAAGTGCCATAGTGGGCAACTAACTATTTACAATATTGATATTGTTTAAGACGAACGTAATACGAACTTGTGACATCATATGCAATAATTGAGCCTATAATATTGGTTAAGGTAGCAAACACATGATGGCGAGGGGTGCAAGGCTCATGGGTCAAGGAATGAATGAGATGGTTCCAGATCCAATAATAAGTCTTCCAGGATCTCTTGGAAAGCACCTCAATCACCGGAAACTAGATTGATTATGCAACGCGCAACGCAAGGCTTAGGAGCTAGCTTAGGAAGGCAAGGCAAGCAAAGCCAATCCATGGCATCACAACGCACCTAAAGGCAACATAAGACATGATTTTATAGGGTCAAGGCATGAATGAGATGGTTCTGGCCACATAGTAGGCCTCCTTAAATCCTTTTAGTACCTTAGGGTTAACCTCAATGCATAATGTTGTTGAATTTAAAAATGTTTGCAGGAAGATAAATTTGAAGGCTATTTAATAATGCACGAAATCAAACAAATTTCTATGATAGGTTTTGAGACCCGTGTTTTGGGAATGTAAGGATGCATATCGGGTCAAATATTCTTATTTGGAATCACATACGTCCATTATTTGGTCATATAAAGGCTCATGGTAGCCTTGAGTCAATGAAAGGAGTCATACAAACAAATGATTAAATTGATAGATAGTTTAAAGACAAAGTGAATGGTTCTAAGTATCCAAATAGCCTCCTAAGGTGTTACGTGTCTATGTGCAGCAACGTGATCTATTTCCTTTATGGCTCTGAAGAAGTAAGAAATTGTTCAAAATTGAAGGCAATACAAGAAATCAGATCAATATAAAAGGAATTGGGACCCAATATAATGTTGAATACTGACCGTAGGCGGAATGATTGTGTAAGGGGTTCATCCCAAGATTATACAAAATACTGCTTGGATGTCAAATACTAATTGGTCATATAAAGTCCCTTGTGGCCAACTAGCCATGATTTAATGAAAAGGGTGTATGTTATAAACGGGTAAACCAACTAGTTATTCCAATCACTCAAATGTACTCTCAGGATATTTTGGAGTCCATGAGAAACACCTCGCGCGATCTATCTGTTTATTTTTTAAATCTTAAAAAACTCTAAAATGTCAAAAATTAAAGGTTATAATCCATGTTTTTGGTCAAATTTAAGAGGTTTAGGGGATCGGTGTTGAAAATTCTCGGTATAGTAGTAGATGCATCTCGATGTCGTATAATATTTTTTAGAATAGTACGTGACCATTAATTAATCACATAAAGGCTAGTGATGCTATTGAATAATCAATGAAAGGAGGTGTGTACATAAATGGGTGAATTGAGAGTTTAAAGACAAAGTGGAGGGTTCTAAGTTTTAACCATCTTAATGGACTCATGGGGTGTCTTGGGGTCCATAGAAGCATCTCAACTTGTTTCTTTTATAGGTCCAAAACTGTCAAATAAAATGAAGGTTATAATACACAAAATCGAACCAATGTAGGTGGTTTTTTGTTCCGATGTCTAAAACTCTCGGGATTAATCTCAAAATTAAAAATATTGTTTGGAAGCACATACCGCCACACTATTTGAAAAAAAAAAAATCTCGTGGTGATCTTGAGTTAATGAAGGGAGGCATATGTTATAGATGGGTAAATTGACCGTTTAAAGACAAAGTGGACAATTCCAACCACCTAAATGGTCTCTCGAAGGTTATGGGTCCATAGAAAGCACCCCAATCTGTATTTTTCTCCGGTTTGAAAAAGTAAAAAATTATTCAAAGGCTATAATCCACAAAAACAGAAATCAGATAATTTTCGGAGATCATAAACAATTATTAGGAAATGTATATTTCCATCAGTCAGAAGCATAAAGGCGATACGATACGGGTCTATAATCAACTAAATTTATAATATGAAACCAAGAAAATAGTTCAATTCCAATCGTATTTGACCACGCCAAGTAAATCGAGTGACTATCTAATTTGCCTGCAACCATACCAACCCCCTAGCTTCATCGGTGATAGTAAGATAGCAAATTTTGTAAACTCTAAATCGTCCTAACTTTATTAATAACATAGTAACATAAAGCTACTTCATAAATCATTATATACGGTCGAACTCTTATATCAAATAACAAAATCCATGTTACAATAGTAAAACTACGAAGTACCATTTTCCTAATATGTGTGACACTCTTCATTCATTACCATTCACCAAACCTAGGACAAAAACATAATAATAAACACATTTCAAAACAACTCTACATTAAACTTTTTTTTGACAAGAACTCTACATTAAACTTAAGGCACCTTGCATGTTTCATTTGGAATGTTGTGTTAAACTTATGCTAGCTTCAATCAAACCTTAAGCCAAATGTAACGATAACAAACATAACCATGCATTTTGACACCTCTTTGGCCCCATATTTTCATGCAACACCCACGTTGATGCACCACCTTACTAACACAACTACATAATTTCTGCACACCCAAATACTATGTGGCAAAAATGGACCGTTTTTCATGCTTATAAAAGCAACTTTTACACTCACTCTTTTATAACATAACATATAATTTCCTCTCTACTCTTCAAATTATTTCTAAGTAGTGTTTTTTAACTATGGGTGGTACTAAGATACTTGTAGCACTTTCGCTTTGCCTCATGGTGTCTTCCGCCTTGGGGCAAGGCTCGCACAAGAGGCTGAGCTACCAAGCTCAGCAATGCCGGATTAACCGGTTGACGTCGAGTGAGCCTAACCAAAGGATTGAGTGTGAAGGAGGGTTGATTGAGTTGTGGGATGAGACTGAGGAGCAATTCCAATGTAGTGGTATTCATGCTATGAGGGTCACTGTCCAACAAAATTCTCTCTCCCTCCCTAACTTCCACCCTTTCCCCCGCCTCGTCTACATTGAACGAGGTACTTAATTGTTCACCCTAACCTTCTATATACTGCTTTGTACGTCCATCTCAAATTATTTGTTCCATTTTTTATAACAAAAAAACGCAACGTTTGAACCTTATACAATTGATATTTTAATAAATATACGTACCATACGTACACATTATTATATATGTAAAAGTAACACACTCGTTATAACAAATTTAATTATACTATATGGTATGAATTATTAATAAAAGTATTTTTTATGTATCTTATATCATAGAGAAAAAATGTAATTAGAGTTTATTAATAATCCATTATTCATTAATTTGAGACGGAGAGAGTATTTATAACACATGCACGTGTGTTGTCATGAATGCAGGTGAAGGAATCTTGGGAGTGACCTTCCCTGGATGCCCAGAGACATACGACTCATCAGGAAGACAAGAAGAAAGGATCCGAGGCGATGAACAAAGAGAATTTGGGCAGCAGAAAGACCTCCACCAGAAGGTTCATCGCTTCACACGTGGTGACATCATTGCGATCCCTCCCGGTGCTGTTCATTGGTGTTACAATGACGGAAACGAAGAGGTCGTTACCGTCATTGTCAATGATCTTAACAACCCATCCAACCAACTTGACCAAACCTTCAGGGTACACTTCTATAACTATTACCTTTTATTAAAAATACTGTTTTCGTCACTTTACTCTCACAATCACTATATTTATTAGTCTGGTCCACTTATTTTTTTTAAAGGGTGGAGGGTGGGACAAAAACGTATTTTTTTAATTAAAGTATAATTAGTTTTTATTTATTATTATTAATCAAAAATGTTGTTGTGTATATAGTCATTCTACTTGGCAGGCGGACTAGAGAAGTCATCCGAGATAAGAGGCAAGATCAACAACATCTTTAGGCCCTTCGCCCCTGAGCTATTGTCCGAGGCATTCGACGTGCCGGAGGACTTGATAAGGAAGATGCAGCAAACCGAGAACCGAGGTCTCATCATAAGGGTGGACAAAGGTGAGATGAGAATCCTTAGCCCTGGAAGCGAGCAGGATTACGACGATGAGAGGCGAAGGAAGTACGTAGGACTTGATGTTAATGGTTTGGAAGAGACTATTTGCACCATGAGGTTGCGCCACAACCTTGACAACCGTAGAGAGGCCGACGTTTACTCCCGCCACGGTGGAAGACTCAACATCGTCAACGAGCACAAGCTCCCCATCCTCCGACACTTGGACATGAGTGTAGAGAAAGGAAACATGTTCCCGGTAAAATTGCTTAACTAATTGCTAATATACAATCAAACTTAATTACACCTGACTAGTCGATAAACTTAAAAAAGTTATCAAGTGACAATTTTGTAAATAAATCAACAAATTAAACCTGGGGCTCCCTCCACTTGAGGTGGTGTAATTTTGGATAGAGTTCGGGTTTTATTGTAGCTATTGAATAGTCTTCTTATATACTTATTATTTGATATGTGACGCAGAACACAATCTACTCCCCACACTGGGCAGTGAACAGCCACAGCGTGGTATACGTGACACGAGGCGAGGCACACATCCAGGTAGTCGGAAACAACGGGGAGAGCGTGATGGACGACAGAGTAAACGAAGGGGAGATGTTTGTGATCCCACAATACTTCACAGTATCAGTTAAGGCAGGAAGCAACGGGTTCGAGTACGTGTCCTTTAAGACAACAAGCAGCCCAATGAAGAGTCCTATGGTAGGATACACCTCAGTTTTAAGGGCAATGCCAGTCCAAGTTCTAACAAACGCGTACCAAATCTCACCCTCGGAAGCACACCAACTTAAGTACAACCGCGAACATCAGACTTTCTTTCTCCCTTCAAGAGGAGGAAGGAGCAGGAGGTTTTAAGCCAAAGAATGGCTAGGTTATGTATGCTACTTTCGAGCTCGATGATGTGTGTTAGCATTTTCATGTTAGTTCTTAGTGTAGTACTACTACCTTTGGTTCAATGTACTTAGAGGAAAGGGTAATGGAAGAGTAGAGAGACAAAAGAGCTTCTTTTTGTTGTGTGAAAAGAGGCTTCTTGTACAATGGCAATGACATGCTTTAGAATAATAATGGTTTGTAATAAAAATGAGGTTTCTCACTTTTTTAATGCAAAGTTAATAAACTTTGGTTTTTGGTTTCCTCTTTACATCATTTCTCAAAAATCTCTTTTCAGTATAGTATACTTCTTCCCCTAGCCAAATTTATAAAATTGACCATAAAATCATAAATTGTATATTAGTATTAAATAATAATATACCTTCATCGTTAGATACTAAAAAAGTCAAATTTTGAAAAGTGTTCATACGACTTTATTTATAGCACATGAACAACGAAACTTGTGAACTTTAGGTTATTGGGTTACATAAATTATGTAACCGATAAATAATGTTGTAATAACTGGTTACAAATACAAAAGGATCTTATCATTTTAGTATTTGCATCATATTTTTAGGCTCCTACATTACCTCATTGCCTAGCCTGACCTTATAACATGAAATTCACTTCATTCGTTTTGTACTAGCTATAGCTTACAAACTAGAAAGTGTCATTCAACAAGTTCACTAACCCTTGTACACGAGGCAAATCGTACAAGACATATAGTTTTCATTTGAGACGAAAGGAGTACTATCGACTACTACTAGTCTACTATGCTACTTGAAGTAGTACAATTAGCCTTAATTAGCCTAATTACAAGCTTCATTAGCCTTCTTAAGTATTTGGGCCTGTTGGGCTGCATCATTCTCAGAGAATAGGCCCTGTAAAAGAAGAGTCTTCACCTCCCAAGACTTGTAAGGGTAGCCCAATCTAGCATAGGAGTTCAACAAGGCTGCACTTGATTCCTTCAATAGTCTTGCATAGGCATTCTCAACGTCGTCGTTTCGAGTTGCTGCTTCCAACATTGTCATATCAGATCTGAACCGTTCGATTGCCCTTGATCCAAACACCTTTGACACCGTTGATCTTTGTGGGACCATCTTTGGCCATTCTTCCCTCCTTGTGCTCCAGTACCTACAACCCCAACATTAAGGAGTTACCGAGTTAACTCAAGATGATTTTGTCCTAGTTAACTAAGTCGACTCGAGTTAACTTACTCCCTTCGTCTCTTTTTAATCTTTACGCTTTGACCATTTTTTTCCTCGCACAAAGAGACTATAAATATTACCTCCGTTACAGTTTATGTACAACGATTTGATATAAAGTCGTTGCACATAACCTGTAACGGAGGTAATATCAAGAATAAAAAGAGATAAGAGGGGCGGTGTCAAACCCGACCCACCGACCCAACCCAAAACCGATACAAAAAATATTTCGACTCATATGGACGTAATAATTTACACATGACTTAAATTTGAAATAGACCCGAACTAACATGATCTTTCCAAACCCGACCTAGACACCCGAAATGATGATTTTGCTTCAGGGTTCTCATTAAAAGCAGTATAAATTAATCAATCTGACCTGAAAAATAATCGATTGGAACCCGACTCAAGTTTGAAATAGACCAGACCCAACCTGACTTTATCAAACCCGACCCGAACACTCGAGTTGACGATTTTGATTCAGGGTATTCATTACAATCGGTATAAATTAATCTAGGAAGATGTAATCCAAAGGGCATTATTCAAAGCAACATAAAAACTCGGACGATTCAAACCGAGTTGACTCAGTATTGAAATGTAGAAAGAGAGAAGAAGACTTACTGAGGAGTGCATCTTCCTCTGTGTCTAGTCAAGAGGAAACCAGGCCTAGCAGCAGCCACTAAAGAAGATGATAAGCAGCAGCATAGCAGCAGAAGCATCAAGAACAGAGCGAGTTGACTCAGTGAATGAGAAGAGTTCACCATTTTTATTATTAGTCTTTTCTTTTTAAAGGTCCAAGCTTTTCATCAGTAATTTGCAGAAAATAGTGAGATATTATCCTTGAGTTTTGTATTTGAAGAGAATTTTAAAAAGGAGGTTTCTTGTTTTGTACAGTACTAGTGAGTAAGTGACTGTTTTGTTTGTCTCAATGTCTCCTCACATTTTTAAATGCGGAGTAACTCAACGGTAAGGGTCCCGTGAGTTTTCAATTTTTCATACTCCTTTTGATACTAAAATCAGAATCAAACTTTGACCACAAATGCGCAAATTTTACAATCCGTTGTACGTAGTGATATTATTAGGTACAACCGGCTATATGGTACATGAGCAAAAAGAAAAGTGTATAAATATTGAACATAACAAAAAGGGTAAATGTTGCAAATTTTTTTTGTTATGACAAAATTTTCATGTACGAGTAATAGTATGAATAACCTCCTAACAATAAATCTAGCAAAAATTAAAGATCGGAAAGGGATATGAGATTAAGAGAGTACTTCGTACTTAATAAGCCGAATTTTATCCCTTATGAAAAAATAAATAAAGGCAGGCATCAATGGGTTATTAGCACAATATTGGAGATCACTGAGATATAAAGCGGCTCCCAGTTCCATCAAGAAAACGATCTGTATGCCATCCTTTACTCTGCAGTTCAGATAGAAATTGGGGGAACACGCTCTCCATTTTCTCGTAAGCCTCAAGCAATACACTGGGGCTAAGACCATTGTAATAAGATTGCTCGATATTTGAAGCATATGCAGCAACTAACCACCCTCTTATAGCATCTTCTCCAGTTGCATTTTGCTCTAGCACCATGTCGGTCCAGTTGTTATTTTGGCTTAAAACAAACTTTTCTTCAGGAAATATTTCTTTCCATTTTAGGAATGCTGATGGTTTGGTAGCCTTGTGCAGAGCTCTTCCAACTAAAACATTTCCAGCATCTTCTATGAGACGCCCTGGAAATAGTAGGTCTTCCTTGTATCTGAGGTTAGCAGGAGTCGATATCTTACCCATCTGAAAATAAAAATGGAATTAATCAAATGACATGTACTTAAAAGTCACTCAAAAGTTTATGAACAATGTAAAATTACAAGCAAAAGATCAACCTTTAGGAAATCAGCCACTAGCAAAGCGGTTCTTTGAGGATTTAATGTGTTGACAGGAACAGCTTTCATTTCTTCCACAACACTATATACATGCAAAACTGAAAGAAGGGGTGCAGCAATAACCTGTACAACAATCTTATATGATTAGACCACTGAACATCACAGATGAATGTAAAGAAAGAAGGCTTTGTTAATAATTAATACTTAGAGACTTCTCACTTGTACAAAGTTAAGCTTATCTTTCACTTTAAGTAATAAAACCCCACTTGTATATAAACAATCATATGTTATAGGTTCACACATTAGAAATCAAACATTTACCTAGAGATTCAGATTATCATTTCATGATGAAGAATTCCAACTAAAATTTGGTTAACTATACAGTTTATAATATGAACATATAATTTCTACAAAAAACCATTTTTGGCACAAGGGGCCTCTCTTTCCCACAATTCCACGTCATTAATCTGTGGGAAGGGCTGGGTTGAAGTCAAATGTGACCAAGAGATATACTTCTCACATATTTTAGATTTTTTCTCATTTACTGATACTTGGATAGCAAATTTGGAATTGGGAATGACACCTTTTTTTTTTCTCAATCCCCGCATTTTCCCTCATGCCCTCACAAAATGATTTTCATATATCAGGTCATAAATGTATCATATTTTGATCTAACGGAATGAGTTTTGGGTTACAAAAGTTTTCAGAATCTAACAAGCAATTAATATGGTGAATGTTACCTTTCCTTGAATGGATGAGCACACAGTGGATGCTAGTGTGATTCCTGCCCCCATTCCAATTACATTGAAGAGCGTCGATAAGGCCTCCCCTTTAGCAACGAGATCACTGAGGTTTCCTTCTTTTGCAAATGAAGAATATAGTGGCAATCTCGTGGCTCTAGCAGCAACAGTAGCCATTCCCTATCATGCAAAATGAGATAAAATTCCACTGTTAGTATGTAATGTGAGAAGAAGATTCAAATGGCTCAAAACGAACTTTTGACATAATATAAAATATCCCCCAGCAGCAAACAAATAAGAAAAAGAAAACCTCAACAACTCGAATGGCTTGGATACTTTTACATAGAAGATATAAGCACACTTACAAGTTACAACTGAAAAAGGAGAAAATACCCAGAGATGCTAACAACTCATTAAACAAATTCTGTTTCACTTTCCAAATTAGCTTTACTATTCCGGATAGTTGAAGTTCATTCATACGTGGAAATAGAATAAATAAATAAAATACCTTAGCAAAATTTCCAAGGCCGGCCATTTCAAGAAAAAGATGTGGGCATATTGGAGACAAAACTTCCAAGCCAGTGCCGAAGTCATACAGAACATCAGCTGAAAGATGTGGAGCCAAAAAAAATATGCGTCAAACAGAAAGCATAGAATAAGCTTAAAAATTGAAGTACCAGATTTGCTTTAAACTAAGGTGCAAAACTATATCAATTCAAGCGACTTGTGAGGATGTGAGCTAACCAAAAATTCTCCACCGCTTTGGTTCTGAATCCATCCTAGCACCAAGATTGCTGCAAATTAGCTTCCCAACGTGCTCCATACCATCTTTCAGTACCTATAGGCAATTTACATTATAAAAGTTAAAACACATAGAACTTAAATTGCTTCTACAATAAAACAGGGACTCTGAAAGATAGTAGCTCACCCAACTAACTACAGTTGCTTGTGCAGGTGTTGGCCGTAAGCCTGCAGCAAATAGCAGGGACTGCAGAAGAGTAAGAATTTGATCATAGAAACATGCATCAGGGTGCTCATCTAATATTAAGCACATTATATTACACTGAAACACAATTGCCTTGACACCCAACCAGAAATAAGGTTTTTCAAATCAACTATACATAAATGTGGCAAAGGTCAACCCACCCACCCACTCAACACCCCCCCCCACCCCCCCCCCCCCCAAAAAAAAAAAAAAAAAACAAATAAAAAAAAAAAAACATGCAAGGGTGAGTTTGGTTCAGAATATTCCAGTTTACATATAAAATTTAAACCGGATTATAAATTTTAAGAGAAGTGGAATGGATTTTAAACCATTCTATAATTTATTTTTCCCCATTGTTTGGTTCACTTTTTCGTCCACTATGATATATGCTCTTGCTTACTTTTTCAAACATTCTTTTTTCTCTCTCGTTGTGTCTCACTCATACACACATAGTTCATCTTTCTCTCCTAATCTCCTGTTGTTTTAATTTCTATCAAACATTAAATTTCTGCAGAAGAAGAAACCTCAATTTCTATCATATCTTTAATTTTTTACAGTTGCTTCAATATCTACCAAAATTCTGTTATCTCTCAGGAAGGGGATCTAAAAGCTAAGGGGAGTGGTAGGGTTTACTTCATTTGGCAGTCAGGCTTATAGAAAAAGAAATATTTACTTTTAACCAAACATCAGAGGGATATAAACTTTTTCCAAATCACAAAACAAGGTATGAAAATTCCTTGACAAACTAATGGGAATCAGAGAGCCTCACACTTGATGAATTACATGCCCCACTTAGTTCAGTTAACATATCACGGTCTATCAGTTTCAAGCCATAATCATAGTAGTATGATAACAGGTTTTAATTCTACACATTGCAATTCCACTGAAAGCAAACCTATTTTGACATTTGCCAAGACAATAGGCTAAACAGAGATAACAGTAAGGATTAAAAGGAGATGACCTGAGTCGAGAGAACAGACAATGCTGCACTGGTAAAATGTTGTAGAGCTCGAAATTGCGTATACCTACCATAACCCTCATTCACACTGCACCATCAAAAACATCAACCACATTTCCAAGTCAATAATGCTTGTCTTTTAGTGAAACAATTAAAAAACCAAATCAATTACATCCCACCTATATGGATATCCAGAGGGAAAGAATGTATTGAGGAAGGATTCAGTCACCCTTTTAACCACAGGTCTTGAATCCTCAAGCATTTTTACCTTCAAAAACCCCAATATAATTGCAAGTTTGCAACTTAGCATTGAAGAAACAAAGCAATAAAGAACCCTAATTCAGAAAATCAAGAGACTGAAATCAAATTACACATTTTACAAGCCCTACCTTAAAAAATTGAATCAAAATTTCCCAATTTTCAGCTCAAATTAACACAATCCATTATAGTACTAAATTACCCATAAATTCTTCAAATTTCCAACACACCCACTATACTTCATGAATATATCATAAAATAGAATCAAAATTGGCAGAAATATGAGTCTCAAATACCTCTTTTTTTTACAGCAATTTAGAAAGAGCAAATTTTGAATGTGAAAACCAAGAATAGAAAGAGACTAACAGAGAAACGACCATCTGGGTCGAATTGAAAATGGCGGGAGATATTCTCGGAGGTTTCAACCCACCAAATAGGGCCCACTTCTTCAACCTTCTGCAACTTCTGGGGTTCTTTCCTCTGCATTGTTGGTAATTTTTCCTAAACCCAAAATCAAAAAGTTAAGAATTAAACTAAATAATCAAAGCTTGAAATTAACAAGAAATTGAATTGAAAACTTCCATTGATGAACACATAACTGCATACCAGCAAGTTCATTTTCAACAGCTAAAAGTTCCCAAGAGAAGAAGTGAGAGAAAGAACAGATAAATGTGGACTTTGTATTGTTATGGGCAACTCTTTAATTTGGATTTGGCCCGATTTGATAATTTGGTCTAATAGTCTAATACTAATGGGAAAACCAAAACCCAAACCCTTTTTTTTTTTTTTTTTTTTTTTTTTAATTCATTTGCCCATTTTAGGTTAAGAAAATTTTCCACTACCCCTATATATATTCATAACATCTAAAATATTCATTAGGATAAAAGAAATTATGCTAGGAGATACATTTATTATTGTTCCGTGTTAAATTTGATACTGTATTTTATATATCATAAGAGTATTTTAGAAGATTTTTTTCAAATAGTGTAATGGTTTTAAATGGATAAATTATTATGAAATGAAGAGAGAAATTGAAATTAACATATATATAATAGGCTTATTAATTAGCGAGTTTTGTTAGTTTAACTTGATAAAAAAGAAATAATCACTATTAGCCAAATACAATAAAATCTTTGATCAATGATTCACCACAAGTCATCTACCAACCCATACTTAAAAGGCTAATGTATTTTACAGTTTGAAAAGGTTAGTTTTGAAGTTTGAGTTTATAAGAAATGCACAGGTTTTAAGTTTTTTCCTCTCAATTTTTTCCACTTAATTAATAGCATAATTAGACTCCCATGTAATACAACAAACAATACTCTGGGACAGTTGGACCTTCTCTTTTTCCTTTAAACACCCTTAGCCTTAAGTCAATAACTTTCAAGGGAGTTCGTTAAATTCGTCTTTAAACCCAAGTTCAGCTGATATTAGGTACATTTAGGAAAGTATGATCCATTGTAATTGAGCAACAAAACAGGGAATCTGGTTTAGTTTGTTTGGCCTCACTGCTCGCTACACAGCTTTGCCCCATGCTTAAGTTTGATTAGAAACTGTTCGCTTGTACTCCGATTAAACCAGACCAAAAACTAAGAACTCAAACTTTCTTTACCAGGAAAATTACTTCAATTCCTCTGATTTACATGTACATCAGAGACTGTACTCCCCCATCCCCACCAAAAAAAGAAAAAAAGAAAAAGAAAAAAAAAAAAGACTTGCAGTATACATTGGCTGCTGTATTCAGATGGATCAGTGATACATAGGTCCTTGTTTGATGGTATACGCTCCTCTATCATATCATCTGCTTTAGCATTACGCTAGAAAGTGTATGAAAACATCAGCTAGTAGATCTTTCTTGTAGTAGACTAGTAGTAAACCGCTACATTTCAGCATCATCATCATAATCGAAATCCTGATCATTATGTTTGATTCTTTTCCCTTCTCTAGCTCCTCTGCCTTTCTTCGGTTTGCCCCTGTAATTTGAACAGATAAACCTCTGCATTATTTTAAAAAGATGTAGCATATATTGACTGTATAAATGTAAGTTGCAGTATTGTAAAGATCATGAAGTTGCAATGAATGTGAATCATCTAATTCTAACTTCTATAAAAGACACATGACACGAACATTACAAACAAAACATAATATGTAGATGTGATTTGTGAATAGCAATACAACCCAAGAATATACCACATACATTTATACCAGCTATTCCTATTCATGATAAAAGTAGCACTTACTGTCCATTTCCGACCACACTCATTCCCCTGTATCGACCTGGACCTTCCAATCTTCCATCTACCAACATACGCAGCAAGCATCAGAATATGATTTAAGAAATTCTGATGGGAAGAAAATTTCTCATATGACAGATGAAAAGCACACCTTCTCTTCCATATGCTTGTTCTTCTGCCTACAGTGGAACCAGCAAATAAACATAACAAGATGATTAGTGTGACCATCAAAATAGAACAATACTATAAATAAATCCTATACATGGGTCTGAGAGACGAATATAATTCCTGAACAAAGGCTGCATGAAGGAGAAATTGTCATTCTATCTGACATTATGATAAATAAATGAAACACACAATCTGGAATCATTTTTATTCTTCTGCATGACTTCAAAAGATCACATACATAAGTTCTTAAATTAATTCTTATTGCTGATGATAAACTTAATAAATTTGGGCTGAATAACATAACTAATGATGATGACGATATAACACAGCTAATTATCACCACAATGCTAAAATAATTGACTAGATCATCAGAGTTACATGGTAAAACCTACGCTGTATCATTTCTAGCTCATGCTAACACCTAAAATAAACAATAATCTGTATTACTCAAACAAAAAACTTATATATTTCGTAGAATTTTTATATTTCTCTTAAATGCTAACAATACATCCATCATAGTTCCCAAATGAATAGATGCTCAAAACTGAGAATCAGTGGAGTATTGTATTCACCTAGATCAATCTCACTAGTGGTTGGCTAATGCAATAGTTCTAGTAACTGAATTCCATTCAGTATTTCATCAGATTACTTTGGAGGAAAATATTTCACACACGAGATATCTTGTATCAAGGTCCAGCCAAACAGATGGGAAATAGCGAGGTCTCTCTAGTCATATCTCAGCACTTCATCAACAAGAGACATTCAAGACAAACAAAAAAATATGCTACCATATGTAAGATGCAAAATACATACTGCTGGTGAGGTAATTGAAGATAAAGAAAATAGCCTGTCTTCCGGTTGAAACTTCCTGGACCTCTTCAGCCTAAACATAGAACCAGGAAACATTATATACACTGATACACATCTACTATTAGTGAAAAGATCTCCTTCAATGACAAAATTAATGAAGTTTCCTATACATTGATTTCAACATCATTAATTACAAAAGGCAAAAGGAACTATAACAAACTACATACTGCCACAAAAAATTTCATATTTAAACCTATGCTGATGTTTCAGAAAATTGTTAAAGCTTCACTCTTTAAGAGTCAAGAAATTCGACTTACAGCAATCATTTAATGATAACAAATCAGATTCAAACTCTTGTGTTATATGCAACAAAAAATAAAGTGTCATTTGTATAAGCATATTGTAATATCATTAAGTATATTCCAGTAAAGAAGGAGCTGAAGATGAAAGATATTGGAAAAGAGTTCCGGGATGTACAGTGTGGTACTCTTTGATGTCGATAAGAACCCATCGTAACCTTTCAATACATTTCCACATTGGCTAGGGTCCTGTAAATAAGTTGTCTCCATGTCAAAAACCTGCACTTGCAACAATACACTTGTCACAGTTCGAGTCTCAATGGATGATGAGAGCAAAAGAAAGAGGAATGATTATATCATCATATACCAATCAAAGCAGCTTAACAATCTCAAATTTCTTTCTTTTGTAAAACATCCTTTCCACATTGTTGCCATATCATGAGAAGCATACTCAGGTATGATTATATTATTACTGGTATATAGCAATTAAAGCAGCTTGGCTTAAGCATTCCAATCTATGAAGACACGGTTCAGTATTTTATTGAGGTCTAATATATTGAAAGTGTGGGCAAACTTGACCATGGTTTTAATATTCCACAATGTAAGAGCTCACAAAAGCACTTCATGGTGGGTGATGATTTAAATCCTTTTCTTTCTTATAAAATCCAATGCCAACTACTAAAACTTCAAAGTTGGCAAATGCATAAACAAGCAGTTACAATATTTCACGATGTAAGAGCTCATAAAAGCACTTCTTGGTTCCTACACCGCGATAAATCTACATAGCCAATAAACCCAGTACATAAAGATAGGATTCATATTCCAAAGATACATTCTTGAGTCTTGACAGTGGACACATCAATCCCACAAATTTGAAGGCACAAAGCACCTTCAATGACAATGAAGTACCTCATTGATCATAAAAAAACCTAGTCATTTGACAACCTGAATAGCCAAAATTACTTACAAAAGAACTTAGTGGCAACGTTTTTTCAATACAGAATCATCAAACAGCAAAGAAAAAAAAAAAGCACAAAATATATAATGGATACAAATTCTTAATCAAATGAATCCAACCACTGGCTGATCAATATAATGTAAATCAAACCTATTGGATTAGTTCATGTCAGACAATTGATCCTGGCAATTCGACTGAAATCATATTTTTTTTAAAAATCCCAGAAAAACCCATAATTTCACTGATTCAATCAACTTGAACAAACAACAAAACAATCAACACAAACCCCAGAAATCATACAATGTGGGATTTGAGGAAATCACCTGTTTCTCAATGTTTCTGAGTTCTTCATGAATCTTAGCTCTTTTAGTCAAAAGAGAAGCCAAAACTGCAGATGGGTTTGTAGGATTTCGGTGCCCTAACAAGACAAGAACACCCATTTAAATCTAGAATTACAGAAAAATTAAGAAAATAAAATAAGAGAGAAATAGGGTTCATCGAGTTTGATCTTACCCTCTGACTCCATAAGGGGTACTTTTTAGCGGGGAAAATTTGAAAAACAGGTAGAAGATCAGAGCTTTCTCAAAGGTTGTTTTTTGTTTCGTAGTACCATGTAAATTTATGATCAATATCAACTTGCTAGGGTTATTGACTATAGCCCAACTCAACTTGATGGTCATGGTGTGTGGCCGTGTGGGTGTGTTATGTTGGCCGTTTTAGATATGGTATATAAAATGTGTTTATTTAGTGTATTATTTACAGGGTTAATAAATAACGAGGTTTGACATGAAATTTATAGAGTAACTGACATCGTGTATATAATAATTAGTGAAATTTGTTACAAGAGACATAATGTATATGAAGAGAAGGTAAACTTATTGCATGAGATACAATGGTGAGTTAATTCTGTTGATAGCGTAATTGAGTTTAGAATTTTTCTTGAGAGTGTAAAAAATGTTGGGGAATTTAAGTCATCAAAGTTTTGTTTTCTGATTCCTCAAAAAAAAAAAAAAAAAAAAAAAAAAAGTTTTTCTTTCTCATTGATGATAGAAATATAGTCAAGGACTTTAGGATTTATTTTATAACCTTTAGAGAATTAAAGAGGCTCTTAGGTCCTCACTTTATAACAATTGATATAAAAAAAAATAAGTCATTCTTTTTCTATGAGGGAAAAAAAATTCCAATATAATTGTCCTAGATCACGCAATAATTACTCTTTATAAAAACGATCTTGCTAACGAGCGCCCCGGGGCGTTAGTTAAGGATAAATTATATTGGTTGAAATGGTATTAAGTTAGGAATTCATGACAAAATCACGCGTCGTTCGGTGTAATTAATGTTAATTTTACTCTAATATTTGCACTTTAATTCTCTTATCTAATGCCCCGGGGGCGCTCATTAGCTTTTGCCTTATAAAAATCTAAATATTTGATGAACATCAAGAAAGACAACGTACATAAAATTACAAATACTTCATGAAATAGAATTTTTTTTTTATTTTTTATTTTTAAAAAAAAACTTATAACAAAAATGATCTTGCTAACTATCGCCGGACGATGGATAAATATTTAATATATTACCTAAAATAATATTAATTTTGAGAAAACATGACAAAATCACGCATTGATTAGTGTAATTAATGTTAATGTTTAATTTAAACTTTTTATTTTTTAGCTAGCTTATCTAACGTCCACGGGGCGTTTGTTAGCTTTTGTCTAATAAAAAATAATTAAAAATCTAGAATTTATTTTTTTAAAAGGGTAAAGGACGGTGGGGGGACTTCATCAATAATAATTTGTTGGGTAGCAAGCATCCATTTGCAAATTGCAAAACTAGATCATTATTTTCTGGTCCTATGGCCATGTTACCTACTCGTATACCTCATACTATAGCGTTATTCCAACGCACCGCCCTCTTTTTTTTCAAGTCAATTATAAATTTCATAATAACATTTTAATAATATCAATCACCCACTAAGGTCAAATGTAGCTTGGCAGCATCTTTTAAGAATTACATCAGCAATTACGAATTACTATTATTGTACCCTCCATTGATTAATTAATCTTCATCTAATCTACTCACCCTTGTTAACACTTACCAATAAAGTCAAATTGGATCATACTTCTTCCGTTTTTTTACTTGACCCGTTTTGACATTTACTATTTATCACCCTTCCTTTGACTGTGTTTTGTAAATAATATATAAGGAAAAACATATTCATGTTGGATCATTTTGAATTCGTCTCAATAAGAACTATCATAATACATAACTTTTATATTTTTTAATTATGGAGAATTAAATTAAAGTTATTGACCGTTAAAGTTTTACATTGACAAGCTTGATAAAAGAAACAGGTCAAGTAAAAAAGAACAAAGAAGTATATACTAGTAACATAATCCTATCAAAAATATACTATGGAAAGTTCGACTCACTTCGCATTTGCACGGTCTTCAATGAACATCTTTAATCATTAATAACTTTGGTTATGTATAAGTAAAAATTTCAAAAAGTTGATATTTGAAAATTTTATCATTAGATGAATCTAATAAGATCAAATTTGTTAATTTATTTAGATGGTATAAATCATAAAATGTGGTCAAAAGTGATTTTATTTTGACCACGTGAATAGTAAGTGAGTCGAACTTTCAGAAATGGAGGTAGTATATAATTTAGATTAGTTATAAGGAAGGAGGACCACAAATTATGAAATTAAGATTTTAACTTTTTAAATCCCTTGACTACATCACTCGATAGTAATCTTTGAGCAGTAGGACGGAGTGTCTATAAGATTGTATAGCTATAGTTTCTCATTATAGGTTAAACCAAATATAATTGGAGAAAGATTAGATTGTATAGAATTATTATTAGAGTAAGCATATATGATATATTGTGTTATTTCATGCCAATGAAGGTTGAAAATTAGACTTATTGTTTGATGTGATTTCTCAGTTATCTATTTAATAAAGTATTTATATACGTGATAGTACTTCTTTCATCGTATTATATTAACTATTCAAACAGCGTGCCTTAGCATAAGAGTAAAATTATTTGCAAAATTCTTTTGAAAAGAAAAAAAATTATGAATAAAGATACTTCTTACCAACTTTCATTGTGAATAAATTGGTCAAGTCATCCTATTATCCTAGACTAGTTCAACAAAAACAAGCCATATAATTGTTATTTTCCTCTCAACTTTGCCAACTCTAATCTATGAGTCTATGATCATATTCTCTTCACATAATATTTACTACACTTAAAGTTATTTCATTCGGCTAAACTAGTTTTATTTGTAATCAAATTAAAAATAATTTTTCTGATCAAAACTTATTTTATTGATTTTAATATTGTATTTATTCAATAAATAACCGAATTTTTAACAATTTTTATCTATTTTTTTCTTAAGGTAAATTAAACAAGACCTAAGCAATTATAAATACCGTTAACGCGTTAATGACGGGTAAGTTGATAACCCTAAAGTAAGACATCCCATTGTTAATAATTCTTAACTAGAAAGAAGAGAAAGAAAAGAACAAAAAGAAAGAACCTTTTTTCAGTCAGTTTTTGGACACTCCACGACACCATAAAATTCTCAATTTATTTTGTTTTTCTTTCAACAACCAATTTCCCTCCAGTTTATCACCAATCCTTTAAACCCCATTTCTCTCACTAAAAATTCTAACTTTCGTGCGATTTTGGTGTTTCCTTTCAATCTAAGCAACTTCATCAACCATGTCTTTCAAAAGGGTATTCACTTTTTTATATGCTGAATCTTTAATTCTTTGCTTTTACTTTCATGGGTAATTTTTTGTTTTTGCCTCCGATTAAGTATAATTTCCATGATTTTGAGTTGATTATTCTCAATTTTATTGAATTTGTGGTCTGACTAATAATGATTTTGATAATTTTATGAGAAAAAATTTAGGCTTGATTTATTATTAATTTTTTTTTTATTTGATGCAAAAATTTAATTGATATACTTCAATTTCAACCATTGACCATTTTGCTAGTATTCCCATTTCTTGTGTTGTTCATTCTTGCTGAAAGATGTTTTTTTTGGGGCCTTCGATGTTTGTTAGGCGAGTAATCTGCGTAAAAATTAATTTTACAAAAAGCGAAATTTTGGTTTGACTTTTTTACCATTCAGTTGAAATTTTTCCCCAAATTACCAATTTATTTGTTTTTGATTGAAACTTGAGATCTCTGTGAACTTTGGCTGTGATTTCCTGTGAATTTTGAGCGATTTAATTGACAAGTTTTTCTTTGGTAGTGAATTACACAATTTAATTTTGATTATGCTTAGAATATGTGTTCTCCATTTTCGCCTCAAAAAAAAAAAAATCAAGGTGTCATATTATTTTACATCGTATTACAGAACAATGACATTCGAGTTGATTTTGAAAGCTGAAATTGGGACTTATAAGTTTTAATAAGGATTCTTACAATTTGTATTGTCAAGTTTGTATTTTGATGGGGTATGTGCTTTGTGTATGTTCATCATGAGGTTTTAACTCTGCTGCCTTACGAAAAATTGATTGCTACGGGTGATGATTGACATTGCTATCCTGTGATTTTCGAGGGCAGCCTTGCTGAGTTGATCAATTTTAGATAGTGTTTACGCGATTATTTTCACCCGAGGCTGAATTTTTTTAGCATACTCTTGAGTGATTAAGTCTGGCCCATTTTATGTTTCAATGTTGTTGGATTTTGATAGCAATTGGTCTATTGTTCTTATGGAATCATCTAAGGTTCAGAAAGTCTGATCATAGTTTTGTTTTGTAACAGTCTAACTCTCTGTCTGGATTGTCTATCGCGGACCATAGCAAAGATGCATTCCTAGAACTAAAGAGGAAGAAGGATCATCGCTACGTTGTATTCAAGATTGATGAGAAGAAGAAAGAAGTTGTAGTTGAGAAGACTGGCAATCCAGCCGAAAGCTATGATGATTTTTTGGCTTCTTTGCCAGAAAATGACTGTCGATATGCAGTCTTTGATTATGATTTTGTGACATCTGACAATTGCCAAAAGAGCAAGATTTTCTTCTTTGCATGGTTAGCTCTTTGCCTGATTTCTTTTCTTCAGTTGCATATTCATTCCCTCCAATTATTTGATTATTGAATCTGCATCTTTGAATCAATTTTGTGAAATATACATCGACTTTTGATTCGTCAAATTATGATGATACTAAGATAAATGCCCTGGTGATGCTGATTCTGTTTCATACTTCGGAATTTCGGATGTCAAGTATATATGTTGCTGCTATTATATGTATATAGTCTATATACATGAACTCTGGAACTGGATTGATTTATGAATGTCTGATTTATTACTGCTAGCAATTTCCTGGAGTGTAGTGTTAAGCCTTAAACAATAAATGAGTAGAGATCAGTGGTTGAACCCCTGGCTTCCATCAGTTCACAACTTAGCTCGTCCTGGGTTCAAGGCTCCTTTCCCCCGTCCCCTGAACATTATTCCTCACTAGCCACCTTCCGCAGGCCACCTTGAGATAGGGATTCAGTGAGGGGGGTAATTTTGCACCTGACCTGGAAAAATAGTGTTAGGCTATCTCTATCAGATAGTCAGATACTGCATAGTTTGTTTATTTGCGCTGATCTTACTGCGTATGATTGATTTGGCCCAGAAAAACTATGTTTTTACCCAACAGCTTCATTAGAATCATGACCTCTGATCTACTGTTTTTGAAGTTCCATGCTCAAGCTTTGTTATGACATAAATTGCCATTTCTTCTAGAAATTGTCTAATTGCCAAAGTAGTTAGACAACTAATAAGAATATACTACGTAAATATTTGTTGCCTGACTATTAGACAATTAGTTCAGCTTTTTTTTTTTTATTGATTGTTGAGCAGCAGAAGTGCAGATCTTCTGATTCTGACTTTCAGAAGAAATTTTGTAGCATGATCATTTACACGTTTTATCTATTTGTAGGGCTCCTTCAACTTCTCGCATACGTGCCAAGATGCTGTACGCCACATCAAAGGAGAACTTTAAGCATGAGCTTGATGGTGTACATTATGAAATTCAGGCTACTGACCCCTCGGAGATGGATCTTGAAGTGCTCAAAGATCGTGCACATTAATCAATTAGAATTTATAAAGCGATAATTCTTTCTGACGAAGGAAAAACTCGAAAACAGGTCTGACGCTTGAAGCTTATAGGCTGTTGCTGTTGTTACATATATACTGTTGTTAGCCTGTATTGCTTGTCAGACAAGGGCAAGTTTACTGACTTGTAAACTATTGATGATCTAACTCTTGGAAGTTATAAAATGTTGTTATTCCAGATTTCCAGTAATCCAGTTTTTTATGCATAGATTGGGGCATCAACTAGGGTGGCAAAATTTTAAGAAGTTTATAGCTCTTTACCTAGGGAAGAGCTGATTATCATCAGCTCAACCCAACTCGAGTCAGATCAGACTAACTTTAAGGTGGTGTTGGGCTTGAGTAGACTTTCTATTTTACTGTCTCATCTGTAGGACTGTTTTGGTCAGGTATGGTTTTCCCGGTATTGGACTGACAGTTTTCAGCCTTATCCCTCGATATGAAACTGGCCAACTCTTTGTGTCTCGAATCATGGGTGATTGACGAGGCATTAGGTTTTATATCAACGCCATCCCCTTGGCAAACTTAGAGCTTCAAATACTTCTTTCTTGGCAAACTTGGAGGAAACCTAGTAGAAACATGTCTCTGAAGTATCACTATGAGGTTCTAAAGATTGTTTTCTTGGTTTACAGTTGACAATGTATATGAAGTGATTCTTATTTTATTAAGGGCTCGAAATGTTTCTACACATTAGAAATTAATTGCTGACGAATAAACATGATTTTAGCAAGAGCATAGCCTGATATCAGATACTCCTGCCTTTGTCGCTGCTAATTGAAAGCAGCTAGGTAACAAATGTTTTACCACTTGATTTTGTTTTTCATTTTTCTTGCTAGTTTTTAAGGCGTTAAGAGATTTCCTTGACTCTTCTTTACAAATAACCATCAAAACCTTGCAGTTCCGAACTGAAAAAAACAGCAGACCTGATAGCGAAACTCATCAGTATTTAAAGATCAGCACATTGAACCTGTATCTGTAAGTTGCAATGGCTGACATTATAAAATAAACAATGCAATGATTTTCAACAAACCAAACACGATAGATTCCTTCACAACCTACTTAAACTCATCACAATTTATGCAAAAATGTAGCACACCCAACACAACTAATGTCATAGAGAACTAGTGCCTGAGAAATAAGAAAGAAACATTGATCACACTACAGTAGACATTGGGAAACTGATCTTAAACTACACTAGAAATCCCAAACAAACTCAAACTATGGATGGTTCTTCTTCCTCCTCATCTTCATTTTCCCGTGAGATTTCTTCTAAAGATTTCCCCTTCGCCTCAGGCACCAAGAAGGTAAAGAACAGCCCTAGTAAGTTGATCACACCTAGAACAATGAGAGAGTTTTTCACTCCAATGCCTGGAGGGTAACCTTGGTCTGTCTTTGTTGGGTCAGTATTCTGAGCCAAGTATAAGAACCCAAACGCGCCAATTATGGCACCTGCCTTCCCAGCGGCAGCTGATATCCCATGACAAGTAGATCTTAGCCGCGCAGGGAAAATCTCTGCAGGGACCACAAATGTGGTAGCATTGGGACCAAAGTTGGCAAAGAAGAAGGTTAAGGCATACATCATGACAAACCCAATCCTGTTCTCCGGGTGAGTCCAATGGTTGTAAGGAATTGCAAGGGCAAACATGAACACTGTCATCATGGCAAACCCCAAAATTTGGATAACAAACCGCCCAATCCTATCAATGAGGAAGACAGTGAACCAGTATCCAGGAACAGTACTACATAACGCGATCAAAGTCTGAGCTCGAGCAATCTTATACACCTCTTGGATTGCGTTCATTGATTTAGCAGCAGGGATCCACCCCACAGCACTAAAGATATCCTTCTGAAAAAGATTCTGACTGTAAAACGCAATGTCAAGCAAGAACCAGGTACTAGCAGTTCCTAGTAAGTGCAAACCATGACGTCGAGCAAACTCCTTGGAGAACAAACCCCAAACGGTCTTTGTCCCCAACTTCTCCACCCCTTGAGGCTGCTCCTCTTCGATCTCCTGATTCAATACCTTCCCCATATCAGCAGCCGCCTGCTTAGTATTCTTTGCAACAAGCGCGGTATACCTTGCAGTCTCAGGCATCTTCATTCGCCAATAGTATGTCATAAGTGCTGGTAATGCTCCAACCATAAGTATGATCCTCCAGACAAAGTCTGCTTGTGGAATTGTGGACTTAATTGGATCTTCTTCATACGATGGAGCTGGAAACCTATGACATATATAACAACCATTTTCAAGACAGATTGATTAGAAACTTTGTTATGTAACATACTTTCTTACAAGTTTATCAGCAATTTTTTCATGAACATTATTGTTTATCAGCAGACTGATGTTAACGTGTACAAGTATACGTACCTAGCATCGAATGCAGCAGAGATCAAAATAGCAAATATACCACCAGAAAGGATCCCGAACCCCTGCATAGCAAACACGGCTGCAATGAACGCACCACGAGTCTTCTTATTAGCATACTCGGACATGATGGTGGCAGATAAGGGGTAATCCCCACCAATCCCAAACCCAAGCCAAAACCGAAAGAAGCAAAGGGTGATCATCACAGTATTCGGGTTACTCCCAAAGGAGAGACCCGAGGCCACAGAGCATAGACACATGAGCATTAGTGTTAGTCCATAGACCTTTTTTCGGCCCAGCTTGTCGCCGAGCCAGCCAAAGAAGAGTTGCCCGGCTAGAGTCCCTACTAAGGCTACTCCATTGATAGCCGAGGAGTATCTAGGGGGTAACGTGCCCGGCTTCTCTGAGCCGGGCACGTGAAAATAAACCCGTCCTAGGAGTTTTGTCACTAAGGATATACAAAACAAATCGTAAGCGTCCGTAAAGAAGCCCATCCCTGCTATTACAATCGCCGTAAAATGGTACCATTGTGTCTTGGCTACATCTAACGCATTTAGGACATGTAATTGATCCTTAGCCATGACACTTTAATCTTCCTCTGTTGTTTTCCCCTGAAAAATAATCCAACGAGTAATTTTAGTAACAGAATACAGGCATGTGTATATATAATGAATACTTGTTACATACATTGTACACAGACGATTAGTTAAATTCATTTCACACGACATAATATGAAACAAACAACTCCGTCCAAGTCTCCACACACTATACACTCGAATGTAACATAAAACCGTTAATTAACAACTTTGAAAAGTAGAGTATATATTATTGTTTTCAGTGTTCTAGAAAAGGTTGGATATTTACTTTTCATATATCATAAGCACAAAATAAAATTCATAAAGTGTAAGCAAGTACTCGTGAGAATATCAAAACCTGGCCTAGTACACTTTACTTATTCGTGTGCTCCCACATGGAACAAAATAGCCAAATACGAACAAATTCTATGAGGCATAAATTTGATAATTTGTTACGCATAGAATATAAATCTAGCCTGTACAAGCACGACACTAAAATCCATAGTTATTAGCACGATTCCATGATCAATAGGTGAGATTATGGATGAACAAGTATAAATCTTTAATTTTATCGTGATTCCATGATTAATAGGTGAGATTATGCATGCATATTTAATAGTTTGTGAATCAAATCATAATGTTAAAAGAAATTATCAATAAGTATGATTCAATCCTTAAAATGAATAATGAAACATCTTAATCTTCATTCTCCCAAATAATTGGAAACTTGAAATTTTGTACTTAAAACATCATTCATTTGTCACATCACAAATATACATGTAATGACAAATCAAAGATCTCATTTTTTAACAATATATATTAACACATCATCATATTAAACAATTCAATATAATACAATATAAATATAATAAATCAAGAAGTAACTCTACAAATTATTAAGAATATTAAATATTAAATATTTAAAATAATACAAACCTGAAATAAATTTGTTAGTCTAAGGTTGCTGAGTATGCTGACGTACAGCTTCCAAATAGTCTGACAAAAATAAGTGAAGAAAAAAAACAAAAGAAAGGGTTAGATCTTAAAATAATGTGTTTTTTTTTTTTTAAAGGTTTAGTTTAAAACAATTTAGTTTGATTTATGTGATGGGGAAAAGAGATGGGAGAAGAGGACAACGCAGAGATGTATATTTATATGAGAGATGATAGTTGCCAAATTTCAGGGCTTAATTAACAACTTCAAATGGTATCTTCCACTTAGAGTTTAAGAGATATTCCCTTCTTTCTCGTTCTAATTAGTCAACCTAATTAAGTTACCACCTATTGCTACGCAATCTCTCTTTCCTTTTCACTCATGTACTTATTTTTCCGCTTTTTGGTTATATGTTATGATCGACTGATTAAGTGACATATTGTTTATATCGTACGGATAAGTTCCATAATGTTTATAAAAAAATGATATTAGAGTATAATATCATTTGGTACACGTTCTTATGTTGTTTATGTTGTAATGTTAGTATGCGCACCTAAATTGACATCACACGTATTAGTATTATTATGTAAAATTTATGTGAATCAAATATTTTATCAGAATTATAACAGACGTGCATATATACAAGACTTAACAGATGGAGTACATGTAGGTCCATGAATATGGTCAAGTTCCTAAGTGAAATTAATGTTTTTATTATCATGGTGATTTTGTACCGTCTTTAGTGGCAAGAAAGAGATTATTTTGCTAGATAATGTGAAGTTTGTTGCAAAGATAGGAAATAGGGATAAAATAATGAATGCTGGAGCATCTGAAAGGAATAAACTCCTCCAGTTTGCTTATTGCTGTAATTTCTTTTATTGCATTAATAATGTGAGGGGGAGATTGAGAGAGTAAAAGAGAGGCTATCAATGTGACATGTCACACTAATTTTTTTTTTTAAGGGATCGGAACAAAAGAAAAATAGTTACCAAAGAGCTGTCAAAAGTTGACCCGATTCGAAATACCGACTCAAACCCGATTATTAACTGACCCATCTGAACCCGAAAAAATGATGACCCAAACCCGACCTGACCCGACTTAAAACCAACCTTAGACCCGAGTATGTGAGACCCGAACCCGAACATGAACTGACCTGGATGACCCGACCCGAATGTAACCCGTAAATTATTGACCTAAACCGAACCCGACTTGGACCAAAATTGACTCAAACCCGTTTTAACCCGTCAAAACCCGAATTTAACCCGACTTGTTACTAACCTGGCCTGAATTCAACCCGATCCATTCCTAACCCGACCCGAATTTAACCCAACATGTAACAAACCCGATCCGAAATCAACCCGACTTGTTATTGACCTGACCCAAATTTTACCAGACCTATAACTAACCCGACCCAAAAATTCAACCTGATCTGTTACTAACCCGACTCGAAATCAACACGACTTGTTATTGATCCGACCTAAATTCAACCCAAATTGTTCCTGACCCGATTCAAATCACCTTAAATACAATTTAGACCACCTTATTATTGTTGATCAAATCATTTTGTCTAGGGAGACCAAGTCGGTCCAGGCCAGCAAAAGAAAAGAGCATCATCCTCAAATTAAAGAGTTAAATATAATATATATTTGTTGTATGGTCAAAAGAGATAATTATCTTCCTAAATTATAGACTATAGTTCCCTAATATATTTCCATATATATTATAGTCAAAGGAAATAATTAGCTTGATAAAAATGATAATTATCTATTTATATTTAGTTGAACCCGAATATGACCTCACTTGGAAATGATCCGACCTGATTGTAACCTGCAAATTATTGACTTGAACATAACCGACTTGAATCCGAGAATGACCGACTTGAAAATGACCCAACTTGATTATAACCCGCAAATTATTGACTTGAACTCGAGAATGACCCGACCTGAATATAACCTGCAAGTTATTGACTTGAATCGAACCCGACTCGAACCCAAGAATTACCTTAATATGTTTTAACCCGATTAAACCCGACCTATTGTTCACCCGACCCAAATGTAACCTGACTTGTTATTAAACTGACCCAAACCCGATAAGAAGTATTACCCGACGTGACCCGACTAAAGCATGACCCAACCCAAACCCGACCCGCATAGGTAATGGAATTAATCCGAATTGACCCGATCCGAGTTGATCTGACCAACTCTTATCGAATCAAACCTGACCCGTTTACCCGAATTGACAGCTCTACCCGAAACCTCCAAAATATCTCAAAAGGCGTGGATATTAGTATTTAATTTTGGAATTTTTTGACTTTTATAACCCGGAAATAAAATTTGTCGAAATGTTTACCATGGTCCCTAATACCCTCCGAAAGTCCAATTGGCCGGGTGGAACCATCCAATTTGCCTTTAAACGACCAATTTACTGGTTTAAATTTGCACCGATTTCATTAACTCAAGCCAACCACGAACATTTATGACAACAAATAATGATCATATATGGTTCCAAACGGCATTATATGACTCCGAGATGTATCCCCTAAAATCTCAATGTTTTTCGACACCGGGCCCCAAAACATCCGAAATTTCTCAAAAAACGTGGATATTAGCCTTCAATTTTGGAAGTTTTGACTTTTTTTTTCGCCCGGACATTAAAATTTCCGAAATGTTTACCATGATCCCTAATATCCTCTGGGAGTCCATTTTGGTAGGTGGAACCATCCAGTTTGCCTTTAAACGACCAATTTACCGGTTTACAACTTGCACCGATTTCATTAATTCAAGCCTACCACGAACATTTATGACAACAAATAATGATCATATATGGTTCCAAACAGCATTATATGACCCCGATATATATCCCTAGAATTTCAAAACTTTTCGACATCAGGCCCCGAAACCTCCAAAATTTCTCAAAAAGTGTGGATAAATTTGAAATTTTTTTACTTTTTTTCGCTCGGAAATAAAAGTTTCCGAAATGTTTACCACGGTCCCTTATACCCCTTGGGAGTCCAATTGGGTGGGTGGAACCATCCAATTTGCCTTTAAACAGCCAATTTGCCGAATTACAACTTGCACCTATTTCATTAATTCAAACCTACCACGAACATTTATGACAACATATAATGATCATATGTGGTTCTAAACGTCATTATATGACCTCGAGATGTATTCCTTAAAATCTCAAGACTTTTCGATACCTTGCCCTCGAAACCTTCAAAATATCTCAAAAAATGTGGATATAATCCTTTAATTTTGGAATTTTTTTGACATTTTTTCCGCCCAGAAATAAAAATTGCCGAAATTTTTACCATGGTCCCTAATACCCTCCGGGAGTCCAATTGGGTGGGTAAACTATCCAATTTGCCTTTAAACGACCAATTTACCGGTTTACAATTTGCATTGATTTTATTAAATCAAGCCTACCACGAACATTTATGACAACATATAATGATCATAAATGGCTCCAAACGGCATTATATGACCCCGAGATGTATCCCCCAGAATTTTAAGGCTTTTCGACACTTGGCCCCGAATTCTCCAAAATTTCTTAAAAAGCGTGGATATTAGTCTTCAATTTTGTAATTTTTGACTTTTTTTTCGCCCGGAAATAAATTTGGCGAAATGTTTACCATGAATCCTAGTGCCGTTCTGGAGTCCCATTGTGTGGGTAGAACCATCCAATTTGCCTTTAAACGGCCAATTTATCGGTTTACATCTTGCACCGATTTCATTAACTCAAGCCTACTATGAACATTTATGACAACAAATAATGATCATATATGGTTCCAAACGGCATTATATGGCCCCCAAATGAATCCCCTAGAATTTCAAGATTTTTCGAGGGCCCCGAAACCTCTAAAATTTCTCAAAAAGCATGGATTTTAGTCTTCAATTTTGGAATTTTTAGACTTTTTTCGACCGGAAATAAAAATTGCCGAAATGTTTACCATGGTCCCTAATATCCTCCAGGAGTCCAATTGAGTTTGTGGAACCATCCGATTTGCCTTTAAACGACCAATTTATCGGTTTACAACTTGCACGGATTTCATTAACCCAAGCATACTACGAATATTTATGACAACATATAATGATCATATATGGTTCCAAACGGCATTATATGACCCCCAAATATATCCCCTAAAATATCAGGACTTTTCTACACTAGGCTCTGAAACCTCCAAATTTTTTCAAAAAACATGGATATTAGCCTTTAATTTTGGAATTTTTTGACTTTTTTTCGCCCGTAAATAAAAATTGGCGAAATGTTTATCATGGTCCCTAATACATTTAGGGAGTCCAATTGGGTGTGTAGAACCATCCAATTTGCTGTTAAACGACCAATTTACCGATTTACAACTTGCACCGATTTCATTAATTTAAGCCTACCACGAACAATTATGACAACAACTAATGATCATATATGGTTTCAAACACCATTATATGACTCATAGAACTTCAAGACTTTTCAACACCAGGCTCCGAAACCTCCAAAATTTCTCAAAATGCGTGGATATTAGCCTTCAATTTCGGAATTTTTTGACTTTTTTTTCCCGAAATAAAAATTTCCGAAATGTTCAGCATGGTCCTTAATACCCTACATAAGTCCAATTGGATGTGTGGAACCATCCAATTTTCTTTTAAACATCCAATTTACCAGTTTACAACTTGCACTGATTTACCGGTTTACAACGGCCAATTATTTTGCCCCATTGCAAAAAATGGGGTCAAACTTCAAAAATCTTGAATATAAATTCTCATTAATCGATAAGAGGTAATATAGTCATGTGCGATCTTATTGGATGGATTCGTCTCATTTTATATTTTATTAATATCAAGTTTTTATAATTTTTACGCGTATAGAAATTATATAGAGTTATTTACGTTACAAGATGCGTCTTGAAGACCGTGCAAAGTTCAATGGGGCAAAAAAACAGGGACAGAAGGTCAAAAGGGAGTACCTCACAAAATCCTTCTATTACATACTTCGTATTATGAGTAAAGAATGTACTACCTTCGAAGAGTGCACATAAAAAATAGACTAAAGAAACTAAGGTCATTGGCCATACTTTACTCTCTTTGTTGGTAGTCCTGGGCCATACTTTACCTCATAAAATCTTGGATCCACCACTAGGTATAGCTTAAGTGGTTAGAGCATCTCTCTCAATTCTACTAGATCCTGAAATCGATTCTCCATTTCTCATCACTCGCTCTTGTAGCTCTCTAAACACCAAAAAAAATACATATAGATAGTATGTACAAGACTTGACATTATTGCATACTTCCCTTTCATCATATTACCAAGTATCTATATCTCTCTCCATGTAGAAAAGTTCAATTTGAATCCATGTGCCTGCCATAAGTTTTGTTGTTGACTCTTGCAATGTATCATTAGGCATTAGCCCCAAACTCAAGGGCCAAAATCAAATAGTTAAAAGTTGAGGTTCCTAGATTAATCTACATGTAATGTAAAATAAAAGAGAAAATAATTTACTCTTATGTTTTAGTATTATTTTAAGCTATTAAGTATATCATTATGATTTCTTTGAACTTTCAAAACACTAATATATTGAGTATTTGACCATTGATAATATTGAGTATTTCAAAACACTAATACAATGATCTTTTGTTAAAAGTTTTTTTTTTAGAATTTTATACTTTTCAACAACAATTATTAGATATGGGAGTTCGAGGAAGCTCCTTCAAAAGGCCAACAAAAAAAGATTTTTCTTCACCTTTTTCATGTTTGTAGTTGGACCAACATATATTTTAATGATTTAGCCAAGGATAGTGCTTTCTTTTTGGTGCGGTCCATATTGATGGCCCAATTAATATATTCCGTATTATTCAGAGATTTTGCCATAGATTTAGAAATTCAATTCTAAATCAAGTTCTTTTTCTTTCAAAAAAGAAATTCTATTTCTAAATCAAGTTCTTTTTCTTTCAAAAAAGAATCTCAATTTTTTTTAAAAAATTATATTCTTTCAGTTTACAGCTACAATAAATTCAATTTTTTTTGAGGAAAAGGTAATATGAGCTTTTATTAAATTAAATCCAATTCCGCTAAAGTAGTAGTACTCTGAGGGAACGGTCCGGTACAAACAAGTTCATCACAAGTTCCGGTATCCCACCTAGCAATGTGATGAGCTACCGTATTACGTCTAACATGAGAAAAAACGCAAACGTCAAAAAAAGCTTTATCATGCCTAATATCCTCATAAATAAGGTGATTTGGAGTCAGACCACTTCTCTTGCCTTGGACCCCTCGTATGACACTAGTAGCTACAATAAATTCAATTAAAGTTTGATAATCCTGTAAAAAAATTAAAAAAATAATAATAAATTTAAAAATAAAACTTTATGTATCATAAAATTGAATATTGATTATTTTGAGTTATTTGTTGTCTACTATGCACAATGCATTATTATATTTTTGTAGAGTTTTTTAGGCATATTCGAACTAGATTTTGCCTTCTATTTTTCAAGATTAACACTTTTAAGCATGCATTAGTAATTTTGGTTATAATGGGCATTGTTTGTAAAATCTTGAATCCTCCTTGGCATTTCCACTTTAAAATCATGTTACAATTTTCGTTGTTTGAATGTTTAACCATTGTTATATTAGAACTATTAATTGATGAATATATATAAATATATAATTGATAAAAGAAAGATGATTTATAATTTTAAGCGTTGAATGTCAAGATGGTTTACAAATTTGCAACCCTAGTAGGCAATTATCCTTCCCGTTGTTTGGTTTCAAATCTCACAATATACATGGAGTTTGAGCTCTATGACTTTTATCAGTCTAGAACTCCTCGCAATAGGATCTTACCTAAGCGCACTGTTAGTGGACCAACCCATACCTGGTGCGAATTAATTCCACTTTGAAGGAGGGGCGGATGAAATTCGAACCCGTGACCTTTGTGTCACGTTGGCTCTGATACCATGTTAGTGGACCAACTCAACCAAAAGCTTAAACTGATGGTTGTGGCCCTGGAATATGTTATATACACTATCACTCCCCCTCACATGAAAGGCCCTTTGGGCTTGAAATGTGGATGCTGCACAGACCCTCCCATACCCGACGCGAATTAATTCCACTTTGAAAAAGGGGTGGATGAGATTCGAACCCGTGACCTTTATGTCACGCTGGCTTCGATACCATGTTAATGGACCAACTCAACCAAAAGCATAAACTGATGGTTGAAGCCCAGGAATATGTTTATACTCTATCACGCACTAAAAAAAAAAATACTCCACAAGACATCTTATTATAATAATAAGTTATAATTTACGAATAAAGTACACAAGTAATGAAATAAGTTTTGGGTGAGTCAGACTCACGTGAGTCCAACCATGCAAATAGAAAAAATAATAGGTTAGTATGGTTAAGTATTAGATTTCTTTTGTTTGATAAACTGGACTCACATGAATCCGGTCTCACACAAAACACTTTGAATTCAATTACATATGTTAATTACCATCTAAAATCACAACTAATTAAACTAGTTGACATATAATCATCGGCAAAACATTACCATCTTTCAAAATCTATGTAATTGCATCAGCAGTTTATAGTCGCTCTCTAATCTCTTGTCTCTTCCATACATAACTACACAAGTCTTTCTTTGGTCAAATTGAGAAATTGTAAGTAATTTTACAGTCTAACAACTCAACAAGTTTTTCTTTGATAAGTGAGATCACTTCTTATGCAAGTAAAATTGAGTGGACAAGGATAACTGACTGGGCCATAACAATTGTAAGATTGGGCCCTACATATGAACCAACTCGGAAGGTCTTGTAAATTGGCCCAAGGATTTGACATATTTACTTTGACATACTTGACATATTTACTCTGAAAGATACACATCAGAGTAGTCTTTTTTCAAGATTTTAGAACCTAAATTTGATGCTTGTAATAGTTTTTGTGATAGAATTTTATCTTAAATTCTATTTCTATTTTTCAACACCATTAATGAAAAATTAGCTGAGAATTTTAGATGCATTATATTCATTGTAAATAATACTCTTACTAGTTTGTGAATAACGTGTAGAAGTAAGAAAATTTGCATCGCATGAACCTCTCTTGGGATAAATTCAGATTTATGTACATCAATACATCACGACACAATTGTTGTTTCCAAAAAAAAAAAATAAAAAAAAATAAAAAAAAATTGACATTTCAATAGTCACTCCATTTCATTTAATTAACCTCTCTTATTTTATACTCCATAATTGTATTACAACTTCTTTTACCAAGTAACTGGTGAGCCCCGCACTACGGAGTATTTATTATCTGCTCTGTTGACACCTATTCTGCTGAAAAAGAACACAGGGTCTTAGGGCCTGTTCTCATACGTTGAAATTGAGTTCAGTTCAATTCAGTTAAGCTCCTAATTTCCTTCTCTTATAAAATATTCATTTCAGTTTAGTTCAGTTCAGTCAACGAGAACAGTCCCTTGGTGCTAGTTTGGTTTTTTGGTTTTTTTTTTTTAAAATATATTTTAAACCAAGTAATTAACTAGTGTTAGTGGTGGTTTTATTAGCACATTGGTAAACTTTGTTAGTGAAAAGTAAGTGTCATGGTAGCAAAAGAATACAAATTATAAATCAAAAGCGTAAAAAAAAATTAAGGGGTAGTTAAATGTCATATGAGTATAAAACTGTTTGTGTGCCAATTGAAAACATTTGTATAAATTGACTAATTCATAACATGTAACCATAACTTTAGTGCACTAAACACAATACACGACCTATTATTTGGAGACAGTTAGACAGCTAACGATATCCTAAACACGTGATTATTATAATAAAGTTGAATATTATGATTAACACATTGGTCTTAGTTTTAGACACATGTATTCACGAAATCACGAGACATAAGGGGCATGCATGCTTCAACCAATTTAAGCAATTACCATGTGTTTTAGAAATTAAAACTTTTACATGCCATTTGGACAGATTTATCCACATAATCCAAAATACATGATCACAGTTATTAATTTTTTTTTTAATTTATTAATTACACAAAATCAATCTTACAAAAAATTCAATAGTATCGAAGGAATCATAAGTAAATAGTTAATTATCCCGTCAGAAAAAAAATAAAAGTAAATAGTTAATTATACCTTCCAAAAAAAAAGAAGAATTCCAACTATGAGTAATATAGAATTTAGATTCTTTAAAACAATTACAAATAGTTCTATGGGTAAAACAACTACTACAACATGATAAGATTGATAACATGAACCTTCATTCTCCATATTTACAAAAGAAACCAAGGGGATAAACTAATAAAAAAAAAAACCCTTTTTTTTCACAAAAAACCTCATAATTAATTAAGGAAATAAGTGGCATAAGTTAATAATAATTTATACTTTTATAACTCCCCTGTTTTTTCCCCTGTTTTTAGGGAACAAGAAACAGAGCACCCAAAATTGTATCACTGTTTTTGTTCTTTTATCACTTAAGAACAACTTAATAATTGTTCCAAATAATCAGCTCCTAAATCTTCAAAAACCACCATATTTGTAGAACCATGATTAGAAGAAATAGTATTAGTTTGATTCTTCACTTTTCTTTCTCTTTTCCTACTATTATTTCCCATTGATTTTCTGTTCATTAAGTGTTTTCTTTTCAATGCAATAACAGGGGAAGTAGAGCAATCTTGGTTATCCTCATCAAATTCTCCATTCTCTCTTTTCATCTCCTTCAATGATTCCCTAACTATCTCTACCGGAAAGTTGAGCACCGCCATCGGCCCCCTCATCGCGAATGCCGCTTGATCATAAGCCAAGGCGGCCGCCTCCGCATTGTCAAACGTGCCTAGCCAAACTCGAACACCGTTTCGTGTCGAGTCCCTAATCTCCGCCGCATACTTCCCCCACGGCCGCCTCCTCACCCCTCTATAGGACTTCTTTTCCACCTCCGTGGGCCCCACGTCACCTTGAGAGAATGATGACGTGGCGGAGTTGGCTGAAGCAGGGGAAGCGGGATTTGTTTCAGCTCGATTCCCCTGCTGCGGGCCCTGCTCTGATAACATGTTAAATAAGACGATCTCATCTGAGTCGTTTATATTAAATGGGAGTTGAGGTAGTGTAACAGAATTGTAAGTAGACCAAAATTCATCCCAAGGAAACGATTCTGATGATCCAACGGAGCCGGATGATTCCGACTCCGATGGAGTTGATTGAGGGTGGTGGTGGTAATTGTTTTGAGTTTGGTGTGAAGAGAAAGATGAATAATAAAAAGAATTATCCATCTTGAAGTTGAAAATTTAAGGCTTAAAAGAGTTAAGAAGACTCACCAATTGGAAAAATTTGATTCACATTCCCACCTTATTTATACCCCTTAAAATAGTGGACCAAAATAAAATGACATATCCATAGTAGTATAGAAAAAGTAAGGTAATGCTAGTATAATAATGTCAAAACAAGGGTTTACTAGATTTTATTGATGTAAAATAATATGAAAGTGACATATTCTGAATTATGGGCAAAGGAGGATGTCCTAGAATTATTTAACAATATTTTGGATAGATTTGATAAGAATATAAAGCAATTTTTCAATGTATGATGCTCTCTTTTTTTTTTTTTTTTTTTTTTTTAATTTAGCTTTTTGGTATATGTAGTTGATGTTTTGTGAGACTTGATAAGAGACCAAAATTTGAATGGATTTTAAGGTGAATTATTTTAAGCACGTGGGTCAATGGTTACCCCGGCGGCGTGGTCAAGGTAGGATAGCATTCAAGGTGATGTCATTTTATCTTTTTAATTAATGGTTTTTTAATTGATTTTAATATTAAATTATAATATAAAGTTTGGATTTATTTGTGTCTTTTTCTAATGGGACCATCGAGCTTGTAGCATGGTCATGTTTAGTTATTGAATGAAATAATGGACAAACTATTTATAGTCAATGGAATTGGAATATTATTTATGTGGTAACTTGTTGCTAAAGGGTTACGTTAGCAAGTTCCATGTGGAAAGAGCTTAACTACGAATCCATTGGTAATAGTAAATATATTGTTTAAAGATAATTAGTAAAAATTAATTTTAATTATAATTATGGTATGAATTTGTAATTTTACAGAATAAAATAATAGCAAATCAATAAAAGTCGTCAACTTTAATTAGTAACAATCCAGTGAAAAAAACTATATTAGTCAACTTTAATAAATAACAATCCGGTGAAAAAAAGTGTGTGATAGATATTCTGTGCCTTTAAAATAAACTATAGAGTAAATAAAATTAAAAACTTCCATAAACACCTTCTAACCTTTGTTGGGTTTTCTCGTAACTGTTTGTTAAAATAAATTATTGGGTTAATAAAAAAAATTGGAACATATACTTTGTATTAATACTTCAACTTTGTATTATCTAAACACTTCGTGTAGCGTAAAGCAAATATTATTTGTACTTTCCCAGGGAACGAGCCTTAATTTGATTATTGTTTTTTTAGCTAGTCACAATTAAAGAGTTGAGTGATAGATGATAAGAGTTGAGTTACAGACGATTAATATTAGGAAAATTTTTAAATTATCACCCAAAAATATATGCATTTTCAAACTAACCACCCGTTTAATTTTTTATTTTATTTTACCACCCCTTCAATTAAAAAAACTACTTAGATTACCACCCATTGCAAAATTTCGGTGGATTTCGGTTATGTGGACCCACCAACAGCTAGTAACGATTATGTCTAAACATTACATTCAGGCTCAACCATGTCTTCACTCCACGGCTCCACCTCCCCCTTAAACCAGTTTATTGACTACAAGACAACCTAAAACCAAAAGAAAACCATGAAAAAATTAAGAGCCTTTTAAATTGCCACTACTACTAATCATCTTCTTCTTGTCACCACTAATAGTCGTTGGGTGGGGCCCACATAAGAGAAATTCACCGGAATTTTAAAATAGGTAGTAATCTCTGAATAGTTTTTTAATTTAAGGGATGATAAAATAAAATACGTAATTAAATGAGTGGTTATTTTAAAAATAAATACATTTTTTGGTCGTAATTTAAAATTACGAAATGCTTCCTAGTAACTATATAGCTTATTACTGCCGTTAATGGGGTCTAGAAAGGAAGCCGCATACGAGGTTTCATGTGAAAGAAACATTCCAAAATTCCTTAAATGGCAGGCATACGCAAGGGTATTGCTTAGCCTAAGCATCATCAACTATATACAAATACATACAGAAAATGACAACTATCGATTAAGATTTCACCTCAACACCAAGCCAAATTTCTTTGACAAAAAACACCAAAGCCAATTTTGAAATGATGACATTAGGGACACAAACTAACTACAAACATTGTACATCGCAATTAAAGCATTTAGATAATGTTACATCTAATAAATATTTTTGTCCCCTTTTTATAGGATATGTATGCATACATTATTCACCAATAATAATCATTATTTAGGGAAGTATGGTTAAGCTTTTATACTACTGTTATAATCGATTATGAAATCGATCTAAGATATACTAAGAATAGTGCGTGCGAGTGAGTAAAAAAGATAGAAGTATGTTAGTTAATATTTTATAATAAATTAATGTGACCCGGTTAAACCTGACAAAAAGAAGGGAGATATAAAATAGGATACTACATAGCCCTCAACTACGACACTAAAATCATTTAGAGAGAATTCTATTTGAGTAACAAAGAATTTAGTTTAAGTCAAGTGTAACATGAAGTTCCAAAATACCGTTCAATGATCACTAGGATTATGAACTTAAGTGATAATTTATATTAATTGACCATTGCGGGAGAATACTATCTACTACATATTCAAAATAATATAGCTAAGCTAGTATGTGATATTATTGTTACTCTATTACTTTTTTATGAGTGTAACGTAATAAGAAACAAAAATTGACGAAATTTTGCTCAAAATCAGTACGATTTTGTCATCATATTTCATTATTGGTAATAATTAATACGAAGAACATTGTATTTTACATGGTAATAGCAAGACTAACATTAAAATATCCCCCTAAATATAGCATACCATAAATTCATAACACATACACTATATTACTCGTATGTAATAATTAAACGAACATGCATAGTCACCTAAATACACATACAGTAATGTGCCAATTTTAACAATTTAACCTACTATTATTCTGTTCTAGGTCATCTTAGACCAGAGATAGGTCAATTCCTTTTTATTATAATTTTTTTTTTCTATTTTCAATTCAATCATTTTCTTTATTAGAATCAGTTTATATAGTTATGTAGCAATAAATCTAAGAGTTAGGTACGAGTGTAAACTTCTCTATTTCTTTTATCGCTACATATTTTTAATTATTGCTACGTTATATCCATATTAATTAGATAAGTTTTGAACAGTAAACAATGAATTGATAATTATGTTATTTACTCGTTCTTATATACAATAAGGTGCGGGTCTCACTAGTATCCTATATCGCGGGTGGGGGGCCAGGGAGGGGGGGGGGGTTATGTCAGTTATGTGTGGCTGCTCTACAAGCTCTTCCTCAAAGATGTCCCCGACATGAACTAAAAGAGAAGACCGATATAGACCATATAGTAGTGCACTAGTGCATACAAAATCCCAAATACCTTTCACATGTAAATTGCTATATAGTACAATTCTACTACATTACTACTCATCAAATCAATACGTACACCTCCCAACTAAAGTTCTCAATGCATCTCACATTTAAAAATTCACTTAAGTAATGTTCACTTTACCTTATATTTGCTGATCTTAAATTATATTTACAGTATTGAAATTAGTTTTGTTAACCTTAAATTATTTTTACTAATTTGAAATTAATATTACTGAATTGAAATTAGTTTTGTTAAACTTACATTATTTTCACTAATTTGAAATTAATATATTGAATTGAAATTATTTTTGCTAAATTGAAATTATTTTTAACGAATATTATTATTTTTACGTTGAATTAAACATGGCCTTAGTAGTAATTTTTATTTTTCTCCTTTTCACAATTTGATTTCAGTACATACAATTATTTTTTTTATTTTTATTTTTTTTATTAATTTAGTATTATTATTTTTATTATTAATTGTTTAGGAAAAAGAAATAAAATAGAAGAAGAAAACTTCTAGAAGGAAGAGAATGAAAATGATGTGCCAAAACTTAACGCTCAACCACCTATTGATATGATGCAAGCAATTAGTCGCATTTGTTTATTACTAAATCATTCATTGAAGGGTCCATATATAGAATGGCCCTCCGTTTAATTCACCAACTTAATTTGATTATTGATATTAAATTAATTTCTATATTTTGAAATTAGTTCTACTAATAAACCATTGCTCTTACCTTAGATGGTAGAACAAACCAAATTGCTAGGTATAACGAAGAATGATTTAACGTTGAAAGGTAAAGGTTCATGCATTCACCCCCAATATAATTTTTTATATTTTATTTTTGAAAAAAGAGAAAAGGAAAGTGCGATGCTACTTGGAATAATAATAACAATGGATATGGCCCCATGAATATAATACTTCATATGAGTCGTCTATGTCATGACAATGGACAATAGCTATTCATGCTTTAGCTATGCTATTCATCTTGTTGAAAATTAAAGAACTCATATAGTTGGAATTTATATAGACTTTTTCCATCATTTTGAATAGTTTTTTTTGTTTACATAGTTTGATTTTCTTTATTAATTACGGCCATTTGAATACTATATAACTTGATGTGTTTTTGTGATTAATTATTGTCGATCATCTGAATTTGGCCAACTTCATTCTTAATCTGTTATTAATATGGATTCATGCTCGAGCATGTGTAATGTAACATGTTGACGTATGTAATCTTAAATATAACACACCAGATAGTCAGGTCTGAAATTGATTGATCTTAGTTACTCATCAAATGACACTCAGCTCATATAATAGCTCTTCGAGCATCTTCTCTTTTCCTTTTCTCTATTCTTATTAGTAGGATTGTGATACATGGTTTAGCATCTATCGATTCCTTTTGAACTACGAATGACCTATATAGGCATATTCACGTACTATATTACATATACTTAAAGGGTCATATCTAAAAACACAAAATAGGTTGAATAGATTGGGCCATAGATATTAACAATAAAATTAAGAGAATTAGGTCATTAGGATAAGTTAATAATAATATTAACAAGGAGATTAAGAGAATTAGGATAAGAAAGTACTAGTAACATCTAAGCTTGAAGGGGCATAATCAACCAAAAAAATATTACTCGTATAAAGAATGCGAAATACAAATGGGCAGATTCAATGAATCAAGAGTGGAGTGTGGACCAAGGTAAGACAAATTACAAATGCAATTGCATGTATAGTAGGGGCAAATATAATTTAATGTGTCTTTTAAATTATAATTAGTCACTCGTGCCACGAGCATGACCCACACTAACGATGGGTCACGTGACTGCTTAAATTGTTTTACATATGATAGTTCCATTGCCAAACTTTGGTAGTCAAATATTGACCATGACTACACACGTGTGCCATGAATGCCATCATAGGTGATTGTGTGGATTCAAGTGTAGGGATGTCAGTGGGGCGGGTCAAGTAGGAGACTCGCCCCATCCCCGCCCCAATGGGGCGGGGATGGGTCTCGGTTTGGCGGGTGGTGGGGCGGGAATGGGGATGAAAACGATACCCGCCATGGGTGATGGGGCGGGGGTGGATTAATATTTACTAATTACGTGAAGTAAATATTAATTATAATATTTGTACTACACTTATATTATAAACAAAAATGTGTGTAATATTCAGATTTTTTTTTAATATTATAATCCGTATTAATTATATAGGATTGTGTATTTGAGACACGGAAATTTGGTGGGTCTTGGGTGGGGATTAGGCGGGTATTTGGTGAGGATTAGGCGGGGATTGGATATCCAAGTGGGGGGTGGGGCGGGGATGGTTTTGGAGTTGTACCCGCCGGGGCGGGGATGGGGATGAATATTAGACCCGCCGCAGGGATGGGGATGGGGATGAAAATGTTAGGTGGGGATGGGGATGGGAAGGTCAACATCCGCCCCGCCCCTTGACATCCCTATTCAAGTGTGAAGAGTCTACAATACACAACATATACCGCTATTAATTAATTTATTTTTTAAAATTTTGTTTATCCTCGCTTTCCTTTTTTAACGACTCAAATGTAACTAGCTAGCTCATACTTTTGTGTTTCTTAAAACAAAAACTTTTGTATACATTTGATGTTAATTTAGGGTAACTTTTAGACTATAATTTTTATCAATAAAACATAAATATCTTTTATATTACCTCTCTGATTTTTATTATTTGCAACTTTAGAATATTTTATATTTCACAAATAATACCCCAAAGTTGCAAATAATAAAAATCGGAGGTAATGTATATATTAGGGTACTAATATATACTGGGTAACTTTTATTCATTACATGATAAACTTTGGTCAATTTAAAAAAACTTTTGTCAATTTAAGGAAACTTTGTAGCAGATGTACAATATTTTATTTTACATCCGATTTGCTTAAAGTATTTATCTTCTTAATTAACACTCCCATTGTCCACGACTTATTTACCTTTAATCATAGAGAGTATGAGATTTAAAACTTTACCTATAATAAGGTAAATAGTACTCCGAAATTGGTTAGGTTTTAACTGTTTTATTTTAAGTTTAACGGTGTCAAAACTCAAAAAGGCCTCGTCGTCACTACTCACAATTCTCGCACTCTCGCCCCAACAGCTCTTCCTTCAATTTGATCAGGTTTGTTGTTTAATTTTTCCTCAATTTTCTTAACAATGTCAAATTTGTATATTTAATTTCTTTATTTTCTTGATTTGGTTGAGTTTTAGTATGATTTTTGTCATTAATTTCTATATTTTAGAATTTACATGTTTATCTCACTATGAATTTCATCTTTTCTTGATTTTTCCCATTAATTTGCTTTGTTCAAGTTTAATTCTGTGTAATTTAATGATAGTTTTACAATTGGTGAGATTTTGAAATTGCACTTGATTTAATTGATGAACCCTGCTTGTTTTCCCTATATTTACCTCACTTTTGCCCTTGGTGGATGGAGATAAACTTGGATTTTCTCTTTGATTTGATTTGATGATTTTTAACCTATAATAATAATAATAAGACCAATTATCAAATTTACTACCTCCGTTATAAGTTATGTGCAACGATTAGACATTTTCCCTCTCTGTTTTATATGTCAAATTGTTACACATAACCTGTGATAGTAAATTGTGCCTCATTTTTCAAATTTTTGGGCCAGAAAATTTTTATGGTAATAAATTCGGGTACCCTATGACCCGTCCCGAGATTTTCGGGTACCCGAAACCCAGGTACCCGGTAATCTCGGGTTGGGTCATGGGCCGCGTTTTGAATGTTAGCACACGAATGTGTTATCAGAGAGATAGACAAACAGAGACTGAAGGAAAAACAATTTAAAAAATAGCTCTGGTATATGTAATTTTGAAGAATGGAGGTGTTTGTTCATAATTATATCCTAACATTGGTTTATGTTAGGATATAATTATGTTAAGTAAGATATATTTTGTGAATATATTTGTATATATCTTATTAGGAGTTTTTGGCATGTTAAGTTAATGTTGTAAGCCTATATATATATATGTGTTAAATGGTAAAGGCTTATTAAGCCGTTTTCTCCTAAATTTCTTGTAAGTTTAACAGATGGAAGTTGATGGAATGAATGTGGCAGAAACGGAGACAGAGAAGAGGATTAAGAGGAGAAGGTTAACACCCACACCCACTTCTGAATTGGAAAGTGCTAAGGATGCTCTTATCTGGGTTCGTTTGTGTTATGGAGACATCAGATACGGCAACTTTAAGCGGTTTAAGGTTAACATCTCCAGCAGTATGCTTGACAAGCTTAACCAACCAGATTATTTATCATTGTCTAGTGATAACTCTAATAGTGTTATAGAATGTGACATTGATCCCAAATTCAATGGCCCTTTTGATATCCCAAAACCCATTCCATCCCCTACAATTGATAAAACTTTTAACAAATTGCCCCGCTGTGCTTCTGTTGGACCTGTAATGTACGCCCTTGGTGGTGACAGAACTGCATTCGACGACACCACCTTACACAAGATGATCAGTGATTCCTTAGGTCGTAATCTCATCCCTCCAACCATCATTGAGCCTGTTTCTGGTGGCAAACCCTCTTATACCCGCCCTCCTAAAAACAATAACATCGATAATTCATCTCACCGCCTTCACTATTTTGATTTCACCCAGCCTCACCTTCAGTGTCAGATCAGTAAATGTCCCCTTAATACTCCTCGCTACCTCCCCAAACTGGTTACCATGGATGGTAAGCTTTATGTTTTCGACAGTTATGATATTTCTGATGAGGAAGCTTGTTTTGGTGAGGTGTTTGATCCTAGCATCGGATATTGGGTGCCACTTCCAAAGCCTCCCTTTGGTAGGTTGTTAGACCGTGATCTCTTAGTTTTACCCATGCCCAAGTATGAGAGGCTTTTAGTGTTGGGATCCTATTCCAAAATAGTGTACTTTTTTGACACACTCACATGGTATTGGCATCCTTACAACAATTGTCTTGATCTTGCTAGAAAACTCTCCAACTTTGGTGTTAGGCGTGGGACTAATGTTCTAATCTCTGAGTCCAATGCTGTTCTCTACTGGATCGGCCGGGGTGGGCGCTTTTGTGCCTACAATTTGTTGGATGGCAAGCATTGTACTACGGTCCTCTCTGGTTTTGATAGTGAATATGTAAACCATGTTGTGAGGGACTACACTGCCCATCCTTTAGTGTTTCTATCCTTATCCAAAAATCTCTTTGCCATCATATGGTGCCAAAAATCCATGGATGATTGTGGTCGTCTTTCATCTTGCTTGAGTATCAAGATGTTGCATTTCAATACGAATATTGATACTGATTCTGATTCTGATAACAAGATTGAGCCCTTCTTGGCTGTTACTATGGGGAAATGCCTGACCTATACGTTTCAGGACTTATGTGTCAATTTAATTGATGCTTACTTGATGTGAGTTTCCCTACATCCATCACTACCCTCATAGCTTTTGTTAATACTATATTATATGTTACCTTATATGGAGTAATTCTTTCGTATGTTGTGTTTGGGATTAATGATATCAACCTTTGCTCTGAATTGGTAGATTAAGTAGATTTATATTCGTTGTCTTTAGTTCTGTTAGGCTCCAAGACTACTGGTTTCCAATTGATAAAAAATGTTTTTCTTGAACCATATTTTCTGTGCATATTTCAATATTCAGCCTTAAAAAAGGAATAGTGTTGGTAGGGAAAATGTTAATTGCTATGTCCTCATCTACTGCAATCAGAAGGCATAGTTGTCGTGTCACAAATGAAGCCTGCGTATGATCCATCACCCTGTTAAATTGACTGAAGAACATGTGAAAAATCGGGTTTTAGGGATAGAAATCTTTACATCATGCTTGAAGTGTCAGCTCTGCGTGTTCTCTGGAATTGTTTGGCTAAGTAAGTTTGCTATCGGTGTATTAATCCTTTTGAATTCTCTTCAATTGGGCATTTAGAGTACCAGATATAGTTACAGAATACTTTGTATGAAGCATGGTATACCTTGAAATGGACTTTAGCACTCTTCTACAGAAAATATCTGTTTGCAATTGTGCATTTTATTCCTCAGCTAGTATAGCTAACACTGGCATATCTTGTTTGTCCCTGAACTTGAATTTTTCTACCTGTCACTCTGTCAGGGACTCAGGGATAAAGATGAAGGGAAGATATCAGCTCCGTGGTCGCTGCCCCCCGGTAGCATAGTAAGCTGGCTGTTGGAGCATGTGAAACCATTGGAGTTGCTGCTTAGAGTTACAGAGTACATGTTAATATAAGCCGGTGAAAGTTTATGTGTACGCATTATTTTAAGACTTGGAACTTTTTGAAACAACTTGAAGAGAATTTTATTGTGTTGCAAATAAGCAGATGTGTATGTCTATAAACAAACTGAAGATTCAGTATGATCATTGTTGTTACTAGCTAAGCAAAACCATAAAATGTCTTTTATCTTTGTTACAAAAAGGAAATTTTGCTACGACAACAACAAAACTGTAGTCTCAAAATGATTTGGTTTTGACTAACTTAAGGAACCATCCATTGGTTACAAATTGTAACTTACAATGTTTGTTTTGCTCATTAAATTGCAATTAGGTTTTAGAAACTTTATAAATAGTGAATTGGTCTATTAGTTTTCATCATCAACTGCAAGCAAGTTTCGTAGTTGTCGTGTAATATCATATCATATCATATAACTAATATATAAAGCTAAACTTTTAGACAGGTCACGAAACAGCGACACTTGACATTACAACTTTTTGCCAAGTGTCGCGCCATCTTGGATAGATTTAAATAGATTTCGTAAGATAAAAAAGTTAGTTAAAAATTCCATTGTTAATCAAATTAGGATAGAATTTTAGAATAAGATGGTTAGTTTAGAGTTTTAATTTCGATAAAATACCAAATTAAAACTTATAATTAAGCCACAAGATAACATCATGTACCGTTTTAACTTTTCGCCAAGTGTCGTATCACGTTTGATAAATGTAGATAGGCTTTGTAGCAAAAAAAAAAAAAAAAAAAATTAGAATTCTATTTTCAATCAAATTGAATTATAATATAATTTTATCTTATAAAAGTCCACAAATAACCCGGGCATCTCACGGGGCACAAAACTAGTATTTTTTTTAAAGCTTATGCATTATCCGAGAATTATATATTCATCATCCGGATTCGAGCTGTACAAATTTTCTTTTTAATTTACGCATACAGTTATTCTTATAAAAAAAAACTAAAATCAATTTGCACCTACAAATCTATAATAGTACTTGGATATAAAAATCTGAAATAATCAATAATAGGAGCTTCGCTTTATTGCTGGGTACATGTCTGATGTGCAAAATTGTGAACGCACTTTGTATACACCGTATGAAATATGCATTGTACACCATAAGCTTGTACTATAAGAATAATTTTTGAGAATGTATACATAAGCTAATACGCCATGGATCAATATTCTTCTAACATTGTATGTGCTTCTTATAATGAATTTAGCCCAACTACGATAGTTGGGTAGCCATTATATTCAAAAACTAAGCGGCCGTCTCCAATACCTTTCTTTTAAGTGTTCGGCTAGAAAAGAGTTATTGCCTCTACCTCATTTATATAGTTCCTCCGTTATTTTTTATTGCATCATGAGGGATTTCACGCTTGCCAATGCATTTTTTTTAAGCTATGAATATCTTCAATTATACTTTTGTAAAAAATATAAAAAATTTATATTTGAAAAGAAGATTTCGAGACGAATCTAACTAGATCCCACATGACGATATTTTTCTGAATGGATAAATCACAAATGATGGTAAAAAAATATTAGTGAATAGTGTAAAAGACCTAATGGTGCAATAAAATAAAAACGCAGGATGTATAATACTTTGAGTTTTATGATTGTCAATCAACTAACTCTGTTGAAAATTTATGTTGAGACTAAATCAATGACAATTTGCATACTTTTTTTTCATTAAGAGAATAAATACTATATATATGGTCAATAATTATCTAATGCAATAAAGTTTAAGCGTTGTATTTTTTATATAATAAAATATACAATGTTATTTTTGGGTTCATATAACATTTCAGTGCATGCATATTTCTTTCAATTATATCATTTATTAAAGTATATAATTTTTATTAGCTGGTTAAATTAGATCACTATTTTAGAATTATCGAAAAGAAAAGAGCATCTTCACCCTCAATAAACAACGTCGAACATTGCATCAAAAAAATAAATAAAATAAACAACGTCGAACATATGTCATTACTCATTAGCTTTATTAAGTGAATAACATTATGTATCGTGAGTATTAGGGATATAGAAAAAGTCCTCATGTATTACACGTCACAGGTTATGTATACTCATATAACAACAAAAGGTGTTGAACGTAATTTATTACACAACTTCAACCCGTCACTTTGGACCATCAAATGTATCATTATATAATTTCAAGCCCGCCACCACTCATCAATAATATGAGGTATATATTACTCTGTATATACGAGTATACTTAACTAATTAAGCTAATTGACATGCATTTATCGTAATAATAAAGGTTATAAATACAATACTCCGTACAAAATAGAAGCAATTCAAGCAACACATGAGAGTTAATTCTTACATTTTTTATCTTGAAAATTAAGGTAAGATAATAAGATATTAGGATATATACTTGCATTTTCTAAAGGGTTAATACTAATCACAAAAATATTCATATAATTAATAACGTATGTGCAAAATTGTGCATAATAAATCATAAGTTAAGCTAACACATCTCGTTCTACTTGAATAAGGCGACCATCTATTCAAATTAAAGCCAGCTGAAGCAAATGCATGCATCAAATGCCTCAATTAACTGCCAGCACAACAAGATTTTTTTAGAACTTATATTACAGCAACTGACATTACATACGCACCTATATACATCAATATTACAATATATGTATATGTTGTTCACTACTACTAGTTTTTTTCGGTATTCCGATCTACCTGATTCACCCTTTGGGTTAATTCGGATTTAAGAATTAGTTCTGAGTGATTAGGTTTCACTCCCCACTCAATTGTTGTTGCGGGGGATTGAATGCATGTCTGTCCTACCAAGTGTAGTCTCAATCATCATTACACCAACATTTAATTGGTATTCACTCCTACTTGTAATTGTAAGCATAAAAATGATTATGAAAATTCTATAGTAGTCATTTAAATTATGACTATTATAATGTGTTAATGATTATATAGTTTATAATTAACATATTTTTTTTGTAAAAGCTAAACGTTGCCCTCGAATCTCTAAGTAACGCCCACATTTATAACTTAAAAATACGTTTCTCCCCTTGTTATAAACCAATTAAATTTACCTCAATTTTTTTAACAATCTATGAATAATCACAGCTATACAGGAGGTTGATTCATAATTTGCTGATGTTGCATCACGCACAACTTCATAAATGTACTCGTAATTATGATCGTATTATTACATCGAGTGAAGGAAATACTATTCTTGAGTGACTAAAGTTTATATATTCTCTGATTTCTCTCCTAGTTTCATGATTTCCCTTCTGATTTTTCAAATTTTGGCAAAGATTTATCCTTAATCGTAAGAGCAAGTTACCATTGTAGTAAAATAGAATGGTCTTATGCTAATCTTTTCATAATAAGAATTTGTAGACATTTTGTATAGAATTTTGCCGGTAAAACTACAAAATAACATAAATTTTGGGTGTATACAAAAATTACATTCTAGGAAAAAATACCCATTGTTTTCGCACAGCCGAGAAGGAAACGCCCAGAAATTTAGATTCTTGGATTTCTATTTTATACCAAAAATGAAATAATATGCTAGCTAGCTCTTGAATTATCAATGACCATTAATAATTAGTAAAATTCTATTAAAAATATTTACTACAAAAAAAAAAATAAAATAAAAAATAAAATAAAAATAAATAAAGAAAACCAACATTATTGTGGAACTAACATAGGGTGAACTTGAGTATTTCGTATTATTTTTGAATAAGATTTAGTTCTCGATTAAGTTTTAGCTAATTAGATCCAAATGCTAAGGGTCCAGCTCAGTTCTGGTTAGTTCACTTCAATTTTTATCATAATTTTTTTCTCTCATAAAATATTCAGTTGAGTTTAGTTTAGCTCAGCTCCAATAAGTTCCGTTTAGTTCAACTCAATTCTGTCAATCAGAACATACCCTAAGACGCGAAGGTGGATTAGGCTAAGGGCATTATCAAATTCATCACCTTTTTTTACAAAATGATTGTAACTTGTAAGTTGTAATTTTGTAAATAGGCTGAAAAGTCCTAACATAAGATTTATCTATCATATCATTTGTTTGGGAAATAAGATGAATACAACCATAATCCTCGTATATCACACGTCACAGGTTATTAATTCTAACATATTGTACACGGAATATACTTTTATATTATTGATTTATATAATCATAGCAACAAAAAATGCATGAAATTTTAAAACACTAAACACCCATATATGGGGTCCAATGGTCCATCTATGGTTCTTGTTCCTTATTGAAAACATTTTCATAGTATATTAATAAAGGCACATAAATCAAGGTGTTGAACGTAATTTAGACATCTTCAACATCAACGTCAACCCGTCACTTTGGACCGTCAAATTTTTCATTAATCACTTTCAAGCCCGCCACCACTCACTAGCTTAAATTATTATTTGCCACCAAATTATTCAACTATATAAATATATGTAATTCGCCTTGTACATAATCCATAGTCTTCAATAATAACTCTTCATGCATCCTTAGTTCATATATATATATATACACACACAACATCTACATAAATTTAAAAAAACTTGTACAAGTCAAAAAAATGGAAGGTGACAATAATAACAACAAAGGTAATACCGCTTCAAAGTATAGAGGCGTTCGGAGGCGTCCATGGGGGAAGTTCGCCGCAGAGATACGTGATCCTAAGAGGAATGGCGCTCGTTTGTGGCTTGGAACGTTTGACACGGCCGAGGAGGCGGCTCGTGCTTATGATAGGGCGGCCTTTGCCTTGAGAGGTCACCTTGCAATACTTAATTTTCCTAATGAACAACACTATCATTCTAGTGATAGTAGTAGTGTTTTTGGTAGAGGAAGTTCTTCTTCTTCTTCAACGTTTTCTAGAGAGCAAGAGGATCAAAAACAAGTAATTGAGTTTGAGTACGTGGATAATAATGTGTTAGAGGAGCTTCTTGATCCACAACATGATTTAGTAGGAAGATATAATCAATAAGTAGTAGATTTTTTCTACTTAAATTAGCATGTTCTTTATTATCTTTTTATTTTTCTTTTGTTTTTAGGGGTTTAATTTCTTCATAAATAATCGATGTACTTCAAGTTTATGATGTAGTATATGAGTATATCACTACTTTTTAGTAATCTACTTTCTTTTATTTTCTAAAATAATTAACGCAATGTCTAACTCTCTCCTCTCATTTAATTTGGTTGTCTCAACTCTCAACCATATTATATGTGATGATTTCATTATGACTAAATGAATTTAGGCTCTTAGACTGTTATTAAATCTAAAGAATATGTATATGTAAATGCTTTTCAAGCTATGTTCACATGTATGTTTTAATTAGTTAGTTACTTTTTTCTTTGATTTATGAATGGTTACTTGGTTGCTTATTGGTCAAATCGGAATCATTATAAGTCAGTTTGACGATGTAATTTGAATCAATGACAAGACAACTAAATTAAAGCCACTTGAATGTAATATACTGATAACCAACAACCTTCACGTACATTACTTATTACTCTATTGTATACTTTTTATTCTTACTCTTATGTATATATTCTATGATGGAAGTGTAAAAAAGCATGGGAACTAACATAAATACTTGTTCAGTGAATGGTAAGAAGCTAGGTAAAAATAATAATAGTGCAACAATGTAAAAGGATGACGAGTCCAATTTTGCCTTAATAATTTCCAAATACGTTTCAAAGACTCTTCTTCCATATCTAGCTACTTGTAAGAAAATGAAATAATAGAGTAGAACCAAAAAAAAAAAAAAAACCATAATAATCGGTAGGACTACTTGACTCGTGACTTCCTTAGAATCTTTACATTGATATGATTCATAGTACGTTCATATTCTTTTTACAAGTAATATTTTATGAAGTATGAACATATAATGTAAGGTGTACTGATCGTTTTTTAATGTAAAATAATAAAACTAGCACAAGTTATGACATATCTTATGTTTATAGGTCACTTAACTAGAATAAAGATAAAAAGATGTATATCAGTTATTAAGATGCGCAAGATGTGATTGCTGTTGATTTTTACTTGGCTTTTAATGAAAGTTAGTACCTTTCGTCATTTACTCGATAAAAAAAAGGGTATTAAAGTCCTTTTGATGAATTTAAAACTATATATCTATAATTTGAGATTGTACGCAGCTGAAAATTTTGCCAACATGCCTTTTATTTGTTATGGCCTAAAATTCAAATGATGAGTCAACTTATAGAAAATCTTAGGTTACGATGAATGAAGCATGCATTCGAGAGAGAAGTGATTAGTGTTGAATTGTCATTTCAGCCTAATGCTTCATCATACATGGCCCATATTTTCCAAAACTTGTAGTCTTATCAAACTTTGAAATTTTAGAAAATGATGCCACAAACAAAAGTTAAGTGAGAGGTGCATCTTTAATTCTTTATAAGTCCTTACTCCTTAGTTTGTTCATTTAAATACTTCATATATACATTATTATAACAATAATTTCATATAATTTGACTATAGTTTTAATTTATATGAACATAGATAGATTACTAGATTATTTACACTTTATCTCGACTCATGAAGTTTTGTACTTCGTAATACATATTGCCTCTGGTTTTTTAGTTGCCACCATTTGACTTTTATGCTATTACAAATTATACTTTGACTAGGTTTTGTGATTTATAGATCTTAATTGTTAAAATAGTGCATTGACTAGGTATTGACTTTTACACTATTTACAAACTACACTTTTATACTATTCACAAACAATAGTCAAGTGGAATCTTATTTGAATTGTCTCAATGTATATTTAAATTATACTCGATCACTTTTATAACTTTACAATGCCTGTAGTGAGAGATATTAATAGTTAAAATAGTATGTTGATAAGCGTGATGAAAGAAAAGTATCGACTATATAAAACGAAAGTAGTACTACCTCTGTTTCTTATTATGTGCAACAAAGGAATATTTTATATCTCACAAATAATACCATTTTGTTACACATAATAAGAAACGGAGACAAGTTTGTAGTGAAAAATCTTTTAAACGTATCATTTAAATTGAGTATGATTAAATTAAGTTAATTTTAAATTTTTGAGTCCTATGCAAGTTATGAGACATTTGTTTCATTTTCATCGAATTTAGATATTTCAAACTCCGAATTCATATTATGGCATTCTATACATCTCTAATTATTGCTTTCTTTGTCTTATTGTTGTTCTATTTTAACTTTTATAATTTTCTACTTATAACTTTGACCTAGTATCTTTAATGTCGATTAAAAAAAAGTATAAAAGTTACGGTGTAGTATTTTGGTAATGTACAATGAGACAAATGCCATGACAATTTATCTTTCAAAAAAAAAAAAAAAAATGCCATGACAATTTACATGACTTTGCATTATTCTTTTAAAGTGGAGTCTTTCAAAAACTATGTTGTCATTATTTTCCGACTTGAATTAAATAATTGATGTATGTAATAGGTAATACGTACTCTCTATAAGATTTCATGAATACATAATTCATTTAAAATCCAGATTAATATGAATCTAATAATAATTGAGTATTGTAGTTTGTACCATAGACGAGATGAATAATTCGACAGAGATAAGAGAAAACTCCCACATAATGGAGACGTCATTGGTCCAATTCTAGTTAAGGGCTTACTTAAAAAAAAATGACAACCCAAAGAAAAGCTATAACAACCTTTGTAAGTAGAGAGCAAGAGAAGAGGAAAAAAAAACAATTAGGTTAATATTATTTTATGTTAAATTAAATCATTTATAATATTTTTAACTCTCTCCACTTTCTAAAAAATAATTTCAATATAACGACCTATTATACGCTTTCAGTTAATTAGTACACGATTCAATACTCTATTGTTGATGTAGTGATAGAAAAAAAAAAAATTAAATTCAATCTAATCCAAAATAAAATTAACATAAAGTATTTTATAGGCCATGTTTGGTAATTGGCTTTTTAATGGCTTTTTGGTTAGTTTTTGGCTTTTGGCTTTTTAAGGTGGTCAAACAGCCAAAAAATGTGTTTGGTAATTGGCTTTTTAGTCAGCGAAAAAGCTGGCTTTTAAGCCAAAATAAAAAAGTTGTTTTGAGTAGCTTTTTTGTTGGCTTTTGGCTTGTTGGCAAATTATCTAATAAACAGCCAACAACCAACAATTAATTTACCAAACACTTTTATAAACAACTAGCTTAAACAGCCAATTTCAAAAGCCATTATAAACAGCCAAACATTCCAGCTAGTCAAACAAGTCAAGTGAACCAACCAACAACCAACCGCCAACAGCCATTTGCCAAACAAGGCCATAGTGACCTAAATAAATTTTTCACCTTTCAAAAGTAATTTTCTTTACTACTAGTATTAGTATTAGGTGTGACATGCATCAAAGGACCAAATGGTGTTATTAATTTTGAATTTTGATTAAGCCATAAAAGTCAAGCGGTCCAATCGTGAAAAGTAAACCTTTGGAAACAATAATTAATGTTGACAAATTGAAAAAGTCATTAAGAAAGTCAATGATACTTGTGGATGATGTTCGAAGTACAATAATGACCACGAGAAGGAGGAACTAACCTTGTAACAGTATAAATAGCCTCAAAATAGCTGATTAAAGCTTTTTTTTTTTTTTTCGAAAAAACATCTAAAGATCAACTTGGTTATTTGTTAATAATTGGTTTTACCCGTAACACAATCCAATCAAATCTTCCTTATTACAAATATTGAATAATGTTTAAGATTTGTGACTAGTGGGTATAGAATATAAGGTAGAGAATGTGAGAGAGTGCCAATGTACAATGGATACTTGGAGAGTTGGAGATAAGGAAGATGAACCTATTACACTAGCTCATAGAAATTGAAGAAAAAAAAAAACTTTAATCAACACTAGCATTTTATTGACAAGCACAACGCCTATTTAAAGTGACAATGCTAGATAGAGTAATAATTTGTAAAAGATGGCATGTCAAATTCCTAGAATTTTAAAACAAGATATCGTGTTTCCTACTTTTATTGACTTACGCCGCAACTAGTCAAATTCCTAGAAGTTTAAAACACAGTACCGTGTTTCGACCCTCTATTGACTTATGCATGTTGAAGTCAAATCCATAGCTGTTGTAAACACGGTACCGTGTTTCGTCCGTCTATTCACCTATGCCACAACTACTCAAATTCCTAGAAGTTTAAAACTCGGTACCGTGTTTCTTTCCTCTATTGACTGATGTCACAAATAGTCAAATTCCTAGAACGTTACCGTGTTTCGTCCCTCTATTGACTTATGCCACAACTAATCAAATTCTTACAAGTTTAAAACACGGTACCGTATTTCCTACCTTTATTGACTTACGCCGCAACTAGCTAGTCAAATTCCTAGAAGTTTAAAACACAGTATCGTGTTTCGTCCCTCTATTGACTTATGTGTGTTGAAGTCAAATCCATAGCAGTTGTAAACACGGTACCGTGCTTCGTCCGTCTATTGACTTATGCCACAACTACTCAAATTTCTAAAAGTTTAAAACCTAGTACCGTGTTTCTTTCCTCTATTAACTGATGCCACAAATAGTCAAATTCTTAGAAATTTAAAACACGGTACCGTGTTTCGTCCCTCTATAGACTTATGCCACAACTAGTTAAATTCCTAGAAGTTTAAAATACGGTACCGTGTTTCTTTCCTCTAATGACTTATGCGTGTTGTAGTCAAATCCATAGCAGTTTAGAACACGGTATCGTGTTTCGCCTCTCTATAGACTTATGCCACAACTAGTCAAATTCCTAGAAGTTTAAAACACGGTACTGTGTTTCGTCCCTCTATTGACTTATGTGTGTTGAAGTCAAATCCATAGCAGTTGTAAACACGGTACTGTGCTTCATCCCTCTATTGACTTAGGGCCTCAAGACTTTTCACCATCGGGCCTCATAACCTCCGAAATTCCTCAAAAAGCGTTGATAATAGCCTTCAATATTGGATTTTTGACCTTTTTTCACCCGAAAATAAAAACTGCCGAGATTTTTAGCATGGTCCCAAATACCCTTAGGGAGTCCAATTAGGTGGGTGGAACAATCCAATTTGCCTTAAAACGATCAATATACCCGTTCACAACTTTGCACCGATTTCGTGAACTCAAGCCTACCACAGACATTTATGACAACATATAATGTTCATATATGGTTCCAAATGGCATTATATGAACCTGATATATATCCCCGAGGGCCACCATCCAATTTGCCTTAAAACGCTAAATTTACTTGTTCACAACTTGCACCGATTTCGTGAACTATCAAGCCTACCACGGACATTTATGACAACATATAATGATCATATATGGTTCCAAACGGGATTATATGACCCTGAGATGTATCCCCAAGGGGATCAAGACTT